CGACTGTTCTTAGTTGTTAGTATTATGATGAGTTTTTATCTTTAAGTTTCTTGTTTCTAATGCTAGTATAGGAAAATATTTTCCAGATTTGTTATTTATCATATTAAATAGGTACATTTTTATTAAGATATAAGTTATCTTGAAAAATAAATGTATAACCATATTATGTTGTTGCCATCCTTAGAATTAATGTTTATGTACATATCAATTCTAAGTGTGTGCCTAATATTATTCTGTTCGGTATGTTTAATTATTATTAATATAACATGTTTCCAATGAAAATTGTTGCAACTTGCTTTAAATAGCTACCTATTCTACTTATTTACGAGACAAGGCTGAAATATAATTAACAGATCAAACGAACTTACCTAAGTGAAGTTCGATCTGGATTATATGAAGCCTTGTCGAAGTAAATAAGTCCCTTCCCTACCCTATTATTTATTTCCCTTGGTTGCAACAATGTAGCTTTGAAGAAGACTGAAGGTATGCGATGCGGGGGAACCTCAGAGGATGGATTAGGTATGCAGGGCCGGGCGGGGTTTTTATTTGCTTTGAATTTGTGTGAGACTCGATGCCATCGGAGATACTACCTATTCTACTTATTTACTTCGACAAGGCTTCATATAATCCAGATCGAACTTCACTTAGGTAAGTTCGTTTGATCTGTTAATTATTGCGCAGTGAGACGAAATGGACACCATCGAGAAATACGCACGTTTTAGTAACATAAATATTAAAAAACCGTGTTTCAACCAAGGGCATACTAATTATGCGCGCCAGTATATTTTTCTACGTTACAACGAACCAGGAGTATCACCAAGGGATAATATTGAAATTAGTGGAATTTTTCTAGGGTTTAGTCTATCCACAGCAGGTGGGCCCCAATACTATAGCATTCTGGTAGCAACCACAGGGTCATTTACAGTGCACACCCAAATACTGTAGCGGCCTAAAAGTCAATGCACGGACTGGCTGAACTCTTTACCAGCTAGATAAATTGATACTGAGAAGCGAGTTAATTGAATACGTCACGAGAAAGAATTATTGCGCAGTGAGACGAAATGGACACCATCGACAAATACGCACGTTTTAGTATCATAATTTTAAAACACCGTATGTCGACGAAGGACATACTAATTAAGCGCGCCAGTACATTTTTCTACGTTACAACGAACCAGGAGTATCAGCAAGGGATAATATTGAAATTAGTTGAATTTTTCAAGGGTTTAGTCTATCCACAGCAGGTGGGCCCCAATACTATACCATTCTGGTAGCAACCACGAGGTCATTTCCAATGCACACCCAAATACTGCAGCGGCCTAAAAGTCAATGCACGGGCTGGCTGAACTCTTTACCAGCTAGATAAATTGATACTGAGAAGCGAGTTAATTGAATACGTCACGAGAAAGAATTATTGCGCAGTGAGACGAAATGGACACCATCGACAAATACGCACGTTTTAGTATCATAATTTTAAAAAACCGTATGTCGACGAAGGACATACTAATTAAGCGCGCCAGTACATTTTTCTACGTTACAACGAACCAGGAGTATCAGCAAGGGATAATATTGAAATTAGTTGAATTTTTCAAGGGTATAGTCTATCCACAGCAGGTGGGCCCCAATACTATAGCATTCTGGTAGCAACCACAGGGTCATTTACAGTGCACACCCAAATACTGTAGCGGCCTAAAAGTCAATGCACGGACTGGCTGAACTCTTTACCAGCTAGATAAATTGATACTGAGAAGCGAGTTAATTGAATACGTCACGAGAAAGAATTATTGCGCAGCGAGACGAAATGGACACCATCGACAAATACGCACGTTTTAGTAACATAAATTTTTAAAAACCGTGTTTCGACCAAGGACATACTAATTAAGCGCGCCAGTACATTTTTCTACGTTACAACGAACCAGGAGTATCAGCAAGGGATAATATTGAAATTAGTGGAATTTTTCAAGGGTTTAGTCTATCCACAGCAGGTGGGCCCCAATACTATACCATTCTTGGTAGCAACCACGGGTCATTTCCAATGCACACCCAAATTACTGCAGCGGCCTAAAAGTCAATGCACGGGCTGGCTGAACTCTTTACCAGCTAGATAAATTGATACTGAGAAGCGAGTTAATTGAATACGTCACGAGAAAGAATTATTGCGCAGTGAGACGAAATGGACACCATCGACAAATACGCACGTTTTAGTATCATAATTTTAAAAAACCGTATGTCGACGAAGGACATACTAATTAAGCGCGCCAGTACATTTTTCTACGTTACAACGAACCAGGAGTATCAGCAAGGGATAATATTGAAATTAGTTGAATTTTTCAAGGGTTATAGTCTATCCACAGCAGGTGGGCCCCAATACTATAGCATTCTGGTAGCAACCACGGGGTCATTTCCAGTGCACACCCAAATACTGTAGCGGCCTAAAAGTCAATGCACGGGCTGGATGAACTCTTTACCAGTTAGATAAATTGATACTGAGAAGCGAGTTAATTGAATACGTCACGAGAAAGAATTATTGCGCACACCATCGAGAAATACGCACGTTTTAGTAACATAAATTTAAAAAAAACCGTGTTTCAACCAAGGACATACTAATTATGCGCGCCAGTATATTTTTCTACGTTACAACGAACCAGGAGTATCACCAAGGGATAATATTGAAATTAGTGGAATTTTTCTAGGGTTTAGTCTATCCACAGCAGGTGGGCCCCAATACTATAGCATTCTGGTAGCAACCACAGGGTCATTTACAGTGCACACCCAAATACTGTAGCGGCCTAAAAGTCAATGCACGGGCTGGCTGAACTCTTTACCAGCTAGATAAATTGATACTGAGAAGCGAGTTAATTGAATACGTCACGAGAAAGAATTATAGCGCAGCGAGACGAAATGGACACCATCGACAAATACGCACGTTTTAGTAACATAAATGTTTAAAAACCGTGTTTCGACCAAGGACATACTAATTAAGCGCGCCAGTACATTTTTCTACGTTACAACGAACCAGGAGTATCAGCAAGGGATAATATTGAAATTAGTGGAATTTTTCAAGGGTTTAGTCTATCCACAGCAAGTGGGCCCCGATACTATAGCATTCTGGTAGCAACCACGGGGTCATTTCCAGTGCACACCCAAATACTGTAGCAGCCTAAAAGTCAATGCACGGGCTGGCTGAACTTTTTACCAGCTAGATAAATTGATACTGAGAAGAGAGTTAATTGAATACGTCACGAGAAAGAACGAACCAGGAGTATCAGCAAGGGATACCTAATATTGAAATTAGTGGAATTTTTCAAGGGTTTAGTCTATCCACAGCAGGTGGGCCCCAATACTATAGCATTCTGGTAGCAACCATGGGGTCATTTCCAGTGCACACTGTAGCGGCCTAAAACTCAACTTTGCAAATCAATGAACGGGCTGGCTGAACTCAGAGTTTCCCCATTTCCAACCCTCTAATCCCCAAAATAACAGTGACAGTGATATACAGATTAAACGTTTTGCTCTCATACGCATTTGACGTTATCAGATCACATACCTCCAAGGCATCAAAACAACCCGCTTGCGCTATCTCGATATCGAAGTCCAAAAACGTCAAAAGAATGGACTTTCCTGTAGGTTGTACGATTTCGTAAATGCACACCAGGTCCTCGCCATATTTGTTGGGATATCCTGGAGATTCGATAACTCCCGTCGGGTCCGTGTAAATTCCTCCGCACACTAGAGGACATTGTCATTTCTCGCGAATTACTCGGACAATTAGCTCACCGATTTCGTATTTCAGTCGAAATCCCAGCTCGGTGACGTCCGCATTACCCCAGTCCGACGTGAAGATTATAAACAGTTGGTTACCCGTCGACGTGTATGGCGGGGGTAGTTTATGGCCGCAATACCTGTTCACGAGAGGCGCGCTGGAGCTACCTCCGTTATGTACCTGGTACTCTAAATTATGTTTAATCCCTCATAGCGTTTCTGCTCACCGTAACAGAGTCGTAACTGCAACTGCTGTCGTCCTCCAAATCGAACAGCAAAAATGTGATCTTGATCCTGGAATCTTCGGGCACCTGAATCTTGTACTCGCAGATGAGGTCCGGAGGATAACGACCGTCTTCCACCGGAGAACCCAGCTCGCCGGTAATAGCCGTGAAGACACCTCCACAACCGGGTAAGCCTGAAAGCACACCGTAAGGCAATGCATCATCGCGGTGTAAGACACCTACTTTCCATGGTCGAGTACGAAATCTGAAAACCGGGGTAATTGTTGATCGCGTCCGAGTGGAAGTGTATCACCACCTCGGGACCTGCCGAGTATAGAGGTTCGGGATGGGAGGTGTTGCAGTATTTTGCCAGGACCCTATCCGATGTGCCATAACCTTCGGAGAACTGCGCAGACCACTGTTAGTGTAGAGGGCTGAATGGTAAGTACTTACTTGTAGGTAATCTCCGGAACAGTCGAGGCTGTTTCCGATCATCAAGGTAAAGAAGTGGAATTGAATACGTTTACCCAAGGCTGCGCTCAGCTTCCAGATGCAGTCACTGAAATTTGCAGAGTAGGTAAGCGTTTTTTACTCGGCGTGGAGGTGATTTACCGATTTAGTGGGTATTTTCCGGGGTAGCCGGGTGAGTGGAGCGTTCCATGTGATGTCACAGATACCTCCCCGCCGCACACTAAAATTAAAGTGTTGCTATAGTGAAAGGGCAACCGAGCATATTTGAGTTTATGCTGGGGGTGGTACAGTACAAATTGCTTAAAAATCATTGCAGACTTTGATTATTAACTGGGACAGTCCTAAAGATGTTTCTTTTAGACGCCAAGATGGCGACCATTTACCGGATGCGTCACTGGCAATTTAATGGCATGAGAAAGTTATTAGCGCCAGTCTGGCGGGCGATAAGGGAAAGTTATTGGGTAATACGTGCCATTTTCTGATGATTTGAATCCACTCGTAATCAGGTCGTGCGACCGCCCAGTGTGCAGTTTTCAACGGCCGAGGCAATGGTTTCCCTAAGCATATCATTGGTCGGAAGGGATCATTTTCAGCTTGGGAGTAAAAAATTAAATGAAATTAATAGATACCAATGTTCGATTGGCGTAGTTTCAAAAAACTAAGGTGTTGGGAATTAGTCCGCGAGAGAATACGCGCCAAATCACGATAGAGATCGCGTTGAAGACAATTCCGTTCGGGGAGAGCCAGGGAAATTACGCGTGAAGGCGCGAGAGAACAAGCTGGAAGCCACTATAGCATCCGCGTTGTACAGTCAACCGTAAGTCGGAGTCGGAATCGTTGATGAAAACAAAATTCAGTTAAGCCGCGTTGAAAATCAAGAAAAAAAAATTGATCTTAAGCCAAGGTTTAAACCGGGGGTAGTTTTCGGATTGTCGCGTAATCAAAATTTTGTCGATACCTGGATCTGTTGAATTCCAGCTGAGTTCGAAACTGGTCCCCGTAAAAGACGAATCGATCCTCAACCACAGGTAAACCTGATGATGAGTTGACATAATGACACCACCATTCGGAAGCGCTGTCCCACAGAATCGCCCGAGGGACTGTGCTATTGTGTTACGTCCGTCGTGTATCTGCAACCAATCGTGAACGCAAGTCCCCGAGTTTTGCAAGTTAAACTTGGTGAACGTTATGTTAAGCACTTTTGTTCTGTTCGTCTGAATCACCCAGGCGCAATTCACTTTGGGATCGGACACGTGACTGGCAGTGGCCGGGTATTTGATGTTTCCCGATGGGCTTCTCAGTAATCCTCCGCATGCTAGCGTTAAATCAAAATTAGTGCAAAAGGTGCGCTCTATGTATCATCATTACCTTGCCTCTCAGACTCGCAGAAGTTTCCGGTGTACGAAGACGTACATATGCACTTAAATGAAATGTTCAATAGCGAACGACAGGTGCCGCCATTGCGACAAGGATTCGACTGGCACGCGTCCTTTTGAATGTCACAATTTCGACCTGTAAATCTGCGATGACACTGGCATATGTACGAGTTCGAACTGTTGTCCACAACGCAGGTACCGTGGACACAAGGGTTACTCTCGCATGGGTTGCCGCCTTGCGAGCTGTGAATACAACCATTGGGCCCTATACCTGATCCGGAATAACCCATAGGGCAGATGCATTCTACGTAAGTGGGACTGATACCTGCAATAAGTAAGCTAACCCCTATATTCTAAAATATGTGGCAACTTACTAGGGTTATCCCTGCACTGAGCGAGATGGTTGCATCCGCCATTGTTGACGCCGCAGATTCCACGAAACGAGCAGGATTTACCGTCACCCATGTAACCCGGGGGGCAACTACCACACATGCTGGACCCCTAGAAATCCAAGATGATCAGTTACATGCACCGAACGAGCGCAGCTTACCGGTGTGTTGATGCATTTGACTAGGGGGTTAACACTGCAACCGCCGTTGAAGATTGCGCACTCGTCAATGTCGGTGCAGTAATGTCCATTTCCCACGTAACCTGGAAATAAGACACATTGATGTCCCAAAAACACAGTATCCCATTACAAAATGCAAAATTACAGTAGGGAGAAACAACCGTACGCGGTCAAGGATAAACTAATTAAGCGCGCCAGTATAATTCCTTACCATAAAAAGCTACTGTTAAAAAGCCAGTTGTTTGCCGCGCGTGAACCCGGAAAGGGCCCATTATGATTAATTTGTAGAAACTGTGTATAGAAAATTGTGCCATATATTAGGCTCGATATTAAGTTCAAATTAATTTTAAAAACCGTGGCCACGAAATTGAGTTAGTTACCTTCCGGGCAATTTCCGCAAGTAAACGACCCAGGCGTATTTACGCAAGGCACAAGGGGGTTGGTAGAACAATACGGCATCTTCGACTTGCACTCGTCCACGTCAGTGTTGCAAGCGGGACTGACGCCATTTGTTGTCCACCCCTAACAAAAGTAAATTAGACAGCTGGTATTGCTTTCGGGAGTAGTACCTGATCGCATAGGCACTTGTAGCCGAGGCCAGTATTTTGAGGAATGCAAGTACCATGACCGCATAGTTCGGCGATTGAACCTTCCGTGCAACTGGCCGACTGTCGGGTGCAGTGTATTCCAAACCACCCTTTACTGCATACACATCTGTAAGAAATCGTTACATGAGCCTATGCTCTGAGAGGTGACGCTTACTCATATGATCCGGGTTTGTTCACGCACGTTGCGCCGTTTTGGCATCCCAAATCTGTTCCGGCAAATTTCGCGCATTCATTCACGTCCTTTTCGCAAGTGGTTCCCTGGGGAAAAAACACAATGTCGAAAAGACACCAGTGCGAACGTCTTACCTCCCATTCTTCAGGGCAATGGCAAAGAAATCCGTTAAATAAATCCTGGCAAACGCCCCCGTTTCCGCATGGAGAACTTGCGCACTCGTTCTTGCTCAGTAAACGTATGAGACGACCGACTTTCCGTTGTAAGGTACGCAGTCGTCGGTTAATCATTGGTAAACTTCCTCTTCCCTTTAATTAAATGTTACTAATACACTATTATCTGTTCACCCAACAGATGCAGTTAAGCTCCTCCCAAAAAATTCCCGGTAAATTTAAATGAACATTTTTAATTGGTCAAATTTTCAAAACCTGTAACACACAACTATTTTCTTCCAATTGTACCTACTTGCCGTATCTGAATTGACATCCTTAACGTCAAACTTGTCATTGCGTTTTGAATTTGCCTTGCCTCAATTTGCTATCAATTTCATTTATACGAACAAAATAGTCTTTTTTGCTTCTTATGCAAACATTTTGATCAAGAATATTTGTTTTCGGTCAGTAAACATGTAATGTCAATATTCAAAACATGACACTTTGTAACTTAGTCATGCAATGTGACATGCGCTTTCAAATTTCCCGGTTTTTATAATTTTGTGGTTGTGAAACGGGCCTGTTATTGCATTGCCCAATTTTTTTTGGGAGTGGCTTAACTGCATCTGTTGGGTGAAGAGATTATAGTTTGCAATTAGTCACATACCACAGACGTGCCGTTAGTCGAATTTCTAACTCCTGCCGTTCCCATTTCGAGGGCCTGCAATCTTCGTAAGATACCGTGACGCCCCTCGATGACGCGATTAAATTTCTTCATTTGAAAGAACGTGTCGTAATATTCCGTATTAATACGATGCAGCGTATCCGAGGCGTTCTTCGCCTACAAAACTCAAAGTTTGGGGGATGAAACTGAAAAATATATTTACAATGACGGCGGCGTTGGTCAGATCTCCCTCGTTCAAGAAAATCCTCCCTTCCCCCTTGGTAACGAAACGGATATTCTTATTTTCGCCGCAGTTGAATACCAAGTTGCCATCTTGGGAAATGATCCTCGGTCTTAAAGGATTTTAATAATATCGCTGAAAAGTTACATTTGCACTTACTGTGAACCGAAACCGGAAACCCCGCCGATTATAAAGTATGGAAAAATTAGAAGAGCGAAAGTCACCATTTCGAGTGCAATCGCTACAAACTCATTTTATGGATTGGACCGCATGCAAAATTACCGAATAACCAGAAGGCCAACAGATTAGATTAGGTTGAAATTGGAGGAGTTTAGGGGGCGTTTTCTGTAGATATATGATTACAATTTGTTACGTATTCCGAAAACTCATTTTGTAATTTGCTATTGCTAGTCTTGTCATATGTCCAAATAAACTCCTAAAGAGCATCTAAAAAAGCGGCAGAGCACCTCGGGGTCTTTGGATTTGACCCAGGTTTACTACCTACATGTGGCGTATATAGGTCAACTGTGCAAAGTTTGAATCAAATCGGTCCAAGCGTTCGACAGTTATCGTGTTCACGGACGGACAGACGGACACCATCGACTCCCCTATAAAGCTTGCGTCGCTTTGCTCTGCCGCTTAATGAACCAGGACAAGATTTCTCTCTTAAATATTCGCTTATCTGCCCAGGTATCGAAATAAACCAACAATATGCACGCGTCTATGTGGGCACCGAATTAATCGTCGCGTCGCGACGCCTTAAAAATCCTGAAAACTCTCTCATACAGCGAGATCCAATCGAGATTGACCAATCATTTTGATACCACTCCCAACAAATATCTACGCAGAAAGCATATAAAATTCCGCGACATTCACCAGATGACAGAAGAATCGATCGCTAACTCCACCCTGCGGTTGAGACAAGGACCAACATAGTGCGAGTACGTTTAGACCGCATGTTGGTCGAACAGTTGGTGTACGTTTCCTTTCAAAAGGGGCCTGATTCAGGATTCTAATCGCGGGCGATCAAAAATTCGTAACGACATTGGTAAAGATAAGCGGCAAACGACAAAGGCAATTATCAACACGTTACCTGCAAGTTGTATTTGCCATAAAACATTTGCGTAGCCATTCTTCCATCTTAGATACAATATAATAGATCAGTTCCAGCTAGTCGACTGTTTGCATTCGTCAATTTGAAAGCGAGTATTTACATATCATCCAGAACATGGTACTTCTTTACTGCGATAACCTCAATATAAACAAAAATATATCAAGAAACTACAATGTGAAAAATCAGACGTAATTCCAAATAATGCGACCTTACGTACTTACCCCATTAATAAATGCGTTTCAGATTACGAGATAGATAAAACAAAGATACGTAATTAAATGCAATAACCGTGTTAACAAAGAGGAATTCTATGAAAATAACATTACCTAAAGAGGATTACAGCCCTGTCCCATTCGTGTGAAGACGCTTAGATAATTAGTTTAAATAACGAATACTGCACGGAAAATGAATGAAATTAGAAAAGATATTTAAGTACATAAAAACATACATTTAGTCGTCAAAAACAGTGTACCATTGGATGCCTAAAAGAATTAGCCTATAGTAACATAACAACTTACAATATCACACACTTGATTTTGACATTAGTAAATTTAGTGTCGAAATGCACATAGAGTTGTGTGGGCTAGTTTGGCTAACAAACCCCAAAACTGTTATTATTGTATGTTATCGACCACCTTCTGGTGATTTTGATTTGTTTATGAAGAATTTATGTGCACTATTTGTTATGATATACAAATGTAATTATAGATACATACTTGCTGGGGATTTTAATGTGCATTTTGAAACGGACACAAAATTTGCTAAGCAATTAAATAGTCTTATGGAATCTTATAATATGACTGCGGTAGTAAAAATTCCCACTCGAGAGAATGCAATTTTAGACAATATTTTTCTACACAAATCTACTGATGTAACCTGCGATGTATTGCCTTTCTTGTTCTCTGATCATAAATACGTTGTACTTAATAGTAATATGCCACTACCCTCTGACAGTAATCTTACGTTTACCAAGGGTAGAAAATTTACGCCAGCTTCTATCTCTCGTTTTCATGAGTTATTGGAGAATCAGAACTGGTTAACTTTAAATTCTGCTACGACATTCGATGATGCGTTTACTGTATTTTACAATACTTTTGTCTCTCATTTCAATTCATCGTTCCCAGAGACCAAAATTTTAAAACGTAATACCCCATATGTGAAAAAAGGATGGGTAAACAGCACCGTTAAAAAGCTTAGCCAAGATCTTTAAAACTTTTACCACCTCCAAAAAATGTATCCCGCGCTTAAAAAACTTTATTTAACACACAAATGTAAATACCGGCAATACATTATGAATTGTAAGAAATCGTTTTATGGTAACTTAATCAAATCCTCCGACAATAAAAATAAAACAGTATGGAGCCTTATCTCTATACTTAACAATAATGAAAAGTCGCACAAAAATATCACTCTTAAAAATTCAGAAACAATCATTGACGATCCTCAAACAATTGCAAATACTTTTAATGAGAATTTTATTAATGGCCCTCAAAATATTCAACGTTCTATAAAAAGAAACATTTATTCGACTAGCAACTTTGAGTCTAATATGACTATTCGCGAAAGTATGTGTGCACTGCCTTTTAGTGAAACGGAATTATTAAATTGTTTAAAAAAAAGCATAAAAATAAACATTCCTCGGGCCCCGATGATATACCTAATTCTTTGCTTAGGTCAAGTTTGCATATTATAATAAAACCTGTCACACATCTAGTCAATATGTCTTTTTCAAAGGGTGTCTTCCCGAAAGAACTTAAGCTGTCAACTGTACATCCCGTTCACAAAAAAGGTTGCTCTCGAGATTGCTCGAATTAGAGACCAATTTCTGTTAGCTCGGCGCTGTCAAAAGTTTTTGAATACGCCATGTTAGAGAGGCTAAATAATCACCTTGTTAAATATAACATTGTAAGTAATAAACAACACGGGTTCTGCAATGGGAAATCGACAATTACTGCCATTAACTCCTTTGTTAACGACATCATTTCACTTCTTGATAAAAAAGAGAATGTCCTTGCTATATTTTGTGACCTCAGCAGGGCTTTTGATACTGTTGATCACTTGTTACTGTTGGAAAAATTAAATACTTACGGTATCAGAGGCGTTGTTGCCAATTGGTTTTCATCATATCTCTCTGGAAGGTGTCAACAAGTAGAAATTAAATTTAAAACCTGTTCCACTATTGCGAAATTTTTATCCACAGCTTTGCCTGTTAATATGGGGGTTCCACAAGGATCTGTTTTAGGACCTATTTTATTTTTATTATTTATTAATGATATTGTCATGTTCTTAAATTGTTTGGTTTTATATGCGGATGATACGACGGCATTAATATCCGGAAAGAAGCAAGAAAATATATATCCAAAAGCTGTTGAGATTCTAAATAAGCTAAATAATTGGTTTAATTTTAACAAATCTTAAATCATGATAAAACATTTTTCCTACCGTTTACAACTTTTGGAAATAACCATTTGTCTGACTCAAGCAACAAACACATTAATATTCTAGGCACTGGGAAGTTTCTGGGGATCTATTTAGATCAAAACTTAAATTGGAAATGTCACTGCGAAAATCTTATTAAAAGACTAAAAACTTATTGCTACCAGATACGGAATCTTAAAGAATTAATGGATGTGAACCATACTTTAAATTATTACTATGCTCAAATTCAATCCAGATTGTCATATGGAATAATTGTTTGGGGCTCGTCAACCGCGGCAAAAAATGTTTTTCTGGTACAAAAACGAATAGTCCGGTGTATTGCGGGTAGTAAGAAATTTGATTCGTGTCGCCCGATATTTAAAAAATTGAATATTCTTACACTTTCATCACTCTACATACTTGAATTGTTAACTTTTATATTCCATAATCAGCAACATTTCTTACGCCATAGCAGTTTTCATAATTATAACACGCGCAATAAACAACAATTTATCATCCCTTTAACAAGACGTACTTAAACTTGCCCCCCATAATTCTCCCACGTCAATGGGCATTAAATTATTTAATGCTCTTCCAAGTACACTTAGAAGTCAGGGAACAATAAAGTGCTTTAAAACTTCTTTAAAAAAATTTCTTCTAGTCAATGCACCATATACAATTGATGAATTTCTAAATTCTATTGATAAAAATTGCGGATCTCTAGTGTAATTTATATTGCATTCTTTCTTTTTTGTCCATTGTATTGTGTATGACCAACATTTTTTAAATTGTATTTAATTGTATTTTTTTGTGTCTGACGTATCCTATACAATTCAAAATTTGTCTTGGGAATTAATATATATTATTATATAAAAAAAAAACACAATAACATTAATAAATCACGAATAAAAAACATCAAGAAACGAATATTCCGAGATTATTCAAACACCAAAACGGCTAAACACTTCTAGTAAATTTTAAAAAATGAAATTATTTATCACATAGTGCCCTTAAATAACTACTGACTACGGTACGTGCAACTTCCTTTTGCGAGTTCAATAAGAAATACCACAGTTGAAAGCGACAATCCAAATCCAAGCAAGGCAAACGCAAAGCAAAGATGGCCTAACGTTAGCACCACCTTCTCGTCATCGTCGGCCCTCGGCATTTTCGTACGAGCCTCTTTCAAATGTTTGTATATTTCGGTGCCGATTCCAGATTCTGTAATTGCCGCAATAAATCTCTCCACGTAAACGCTAAAGTAGTGATTGGGAAAGTACTTCAGTCGCCAAGCTATCCCGCCAGTGATGCTGTTGTCCATAATTTCGTATACCTTTAGTTGATGGTTGAAGTACTGCTTCATGTTAAACAAATAATCTTCTGACGTCACTACCGCACAATTACCATGATTGGCCAGATTAAAGAAACTCGCGGTATACTGCTTAGGAGTAGTAACGGGAATTGTCAACGTCTTCAGTTTTCTGTACAGCTTACAGTCGATGAGGTTGCTGTTAAATTGGACCTTTAACAAGCTAGCATGAGCGTATATGGGCAGATTCGAGTCTGCCAATTGCTTTAGGTTGCTGATTTGGAATTCATATTGCGGTTGAGTCAAGATATTAATCAAGTTGGACGTGAATCCTCAGTTGATGTGGATAATGTACACCAAGTACGTGATTAGAACACAGCGTAGGGCAGCAGAAAAAATAGAGTAACAAAGGCACCTTCATCGTATGCATATGTTAACTTCAACACACTACTATCCGAAATATCCTTTGTACTAGGCAATTACCAAACCTTTTCCATTTGACGATCATACAAATTGTACACGTTATAAGTGGTTATTGTTGACGTAGTAAGTACTTGCTGTTTACACTGCAATCATCTACCATAAAAGGATATCACGTGTACTGATCGAAAATGCCATCAGCACCAATCAGAAACGTTAGAATCTCCGAATGTAGATGGATGTGTCTTTAATTAGTCTCTGAAACTATGGTTACACCTTTATCGTTAATTTTTTTTGTTTAGGAAAAATATTATATTTACCTATGAATTTAACAAAAGGTTACAACATTAACATATTGCAAATAAAATTGTTTAAAAACATTTTAAAAAAATTACCGTATACTTAAAATATAAAAAATGTCATTAAATACTGTCTGTGGCGGTTAATTGAAAGGAACTTTCTACTACAAAATAAAACTATTTCCAATTTAACCGACGGCTTTACTAATTTATGTTACTGCACTTTGCTCAGTAAAATGGGACCATCTGCATATTAGTAAGGAACGTATTGCATTGGGGTTAAGAGGTTCCACCCTGTATATACAACTTATGACTATACATACATTTTTGAGAGTTGGCAACCATGCAATTTCTAGGTGGGGAACAGTGGGGAAAAGCTGCCTGCGCCATCTAGAAAGTACCCACGTTGGTATCGTATGTGTGTTTTGTATGCCACATTTTATATTTTTTGTGTTTCAATTTGCGTTTTTGAAAATTACTTGGTTTAACCGCAAAGCAGAATGACATGTTTAATACCGTTATCCTTTCGTCCAAGAATAGATAAAATATATTACACACACAAGGCGATACAAGGAAAACCTTCTTCGGGACGAAAACCCTCGCACACTAAACATGCAAGAGAAAATACAGAAATAAAACATCTAAAATCGGGTATCAAGTGAGATACAATATGTAGTAAATAAACAAGAACGAGACACAAGAGGCGTTATAAATACAAGAGGAAATCACGATGAATGGAAAATATGGTCAATCAAATCAGTACAAAAACACATTAAACAAATCAAGGACCAATTTAGGTAAAACAACTCGTAAAATGGTCAATTATATTTGTATATCAAAATGGAGTGGCTCTACTCCAGTCTCGGCTACCATAATTAAGACGAAAAGTACATGTGACAACGCCAATAGTTCATATTAAAGTCTATTTTTATTTATTTTTGGCGTTCAGTTTTAATCGAAATTCTAGTAGGTCAATCAATTTTTGGAGAGGATGTACCGGTTTATTTTCTCCATTACGATAAGCAGCCAATATTTGCTTGTTGAAAGGTCCTTGAATAGATGTTACCGCGCAGATTACCGGTGCCGTGAATTTTGGTTCTGGATTGTCGACCTACATCTTTCTTTTCTGTCGAGAACCATATCAGGTTACACTGCATGAAAAGCAACAGCTGAGACGCAATTTTAATTGCTATCATCCATATTATATTAAGCTCTGTAATTGGATTCAATAAATTGGCGATTCTGGAATATTGTTAAGTCGGATTCACCTAAAAACTCAAATAGTGAGGATAAGTATAATTGCGTGTTTTCTGTCTCATCGTCAAGTACGGCCAATTATGCATTTTCTGTAATTGAATTGTACATTTCTTTATGGTTCGGTCGTATTTTGTGCACCTACGACAATTTTTTCATCGACAATAAAATTTTTGCTTAATCTACAATTAGCTCTCTTATTTAAGATATTTTTTATAACATCAACGAAGAGGGTTACACCTTTGATTTCTTTTAGGGTCCAAGTCCCGGTTCAACTTTTTAGTTTTTAATTTTAATCTTAATTGTAAGTACCAGTTTAAATTCCGGATACGTTACATACGATTTCTGGTTCGATTTGACATTAAGAGCGCCGTACTCTTTTCTATGGGTCGAATTATACCCCCCCCCCCTCCCAACTCCTTTGAATAGACTAAAAATTGTTTAGAGAGCAATTTTACGGTTACCGGTCTCGCAAGCGTAAGGGTGGTTGCTTTAGAAGTACTTTTTCGAATTTGATTTTTTGTTAAGCATCACATTTACACATATACCGCTTTATAGTGAACACGAACGAAAATGTGTCTGGTGATAACAAGCGATTGTGCGAGAAACTTTATATTATTGAAAAGAGATTCTTGCGCTTGAATTCGCGAGTCGAAACATACTATTTGAGTGCGATAAAAATGATATTCGTAAACAAATTTGGGAGCGATCACGTACATTGCGCGTGATTTTTTTTACCGTTGAAGTTTCATTTTACGTTGATTTTCGCGAACCACCACGTACAATTTTAAGTGCGTTGAAATTGAAGTTATTCCTTTCTCTTATGACTAACTTAATGAGGTTTTATACAAAATCCTAAAATTTTACAGGGATTACCGTTACAGTAGCAAGTTACACATAAGCTGCGAATGCAAATTGTGTGCGAGATGGTAAATTCCCTGAAGGATTGGCACACGCAAATACGCATCAAATCTCCGACAAAAAAAGACAAAAGGATGATATCGTATTCGCATTAAGACCTTTTCAAGAATAGTAAAGACAGAATACAATACAAATGCTTAAGTTGATAGAAAAACAAAAATACAAACGAATTAAGTGCAATATAACTCTACAAACAGAAAAATTACTAATCTTTCTTTCCAGACTGTAAATCATCAATCTCTCGATCGATTCTTTGAATAAACTCGGTAGACGAGGTGAAATCTGAACACATCATCTCAAGGGCAGCATCATAAGACTTGTTAAGCTCATCCATGATTTTCTAGAAAATTCGAACAAAGACTCAAAGCTAACAAGTCAATGCTGACATACCATGTAGTTGAGGAGGTTGTTGGAAATTTGCAAATCCAATTGGGTGAAAAACTTGAACGCCTTGTATTTTAAGTCGCGAGTCTCTTTGTCGACGGCATCAGATTTTCTACACGTAAAGGCAATGTCAAAGCAAAGAATACTATGAGATTCAAAGCTAGGGCAAATATGTGTTCGCTTTTATTAAACCAACTGCTAGAGTAAAGTCACTAGATATAGAAAGTACCGCAATCATCCGCCATTTTTGGGCAAATTTGCTGCCAACTTAAAAAAATTTACAAATAAAATCTGAATAGCTGTAATTTTTTATAACCTAACTTCATAGTACTGTCATGTTTTATAAAAATATATACAGATATCTCCAAACAGGTGGAACAATCCCTAACATTAAAGTTACTAGAATCTGGTAACTTCCGCCATTTTTGGGCAAAAATCGTGCGTTCTCTCTCTAACACACGAGCCCAATGGATTGCGGTACCTTCTATATTTAGTGACTTTATGCTAGAGTTTTTGTGCATCCATCTATTGACACGGATTACTACCAAAAAAGTGCATTTTGAGGTTATGCAGTGTTGGCAAGGAAGCACAAAATTATTGCAATATTTGGTGCGTTCGTTTACTAGTAATTATAATTAAAGCGAACAGATATCTGTATGGCGTTGAACTTACTCCTTTTGAATTTGCAAGATGTTTGGTGGTAAGGCGTCCATGTTGGGTCTTCTACTCTTCAAATCGAGTAGCTCATTTTGTACAATGTTCACATTATCAATGGCAAGTTGCTTCTCCTGAAAGATTGCACTTGCAGGTTAATGTCTTAGTCTTAGTGTTCTTGTGTTTAATATTGTTCCATAGTGATCATTAATGGCTTTAATTTTTATGTATATTTTAATAGTTGTTTTGTTTGTTTCATGTTATGTTTATATATACACATACACACACATTGTAAGTACCAAAGTAATTGTATGACGAGTGCAAAAATTACTATTTAATAACATGAAAAAAAAGAACATGAAAAATGTAATCGACCAAAAGCACTTACGCGCTCGAGTCTTGCAATATGGTGCTCCATTGTGAACTGCTCTTCGGCCTCTATTCTAGTGCACACATCTAATTCGCTGTTGACCACCTCCAGCTGTTTCTCTAACTGAAAAAATGAATAGTAACTACCGCTCTTCGATGATAGTTTCCAACATTACCGTCTGACACATCTGATTAATTTCGGTTAGTGCGTTTTGTTCCGCATTTAGCTTTGTTCTCATCTCCGCCGCTTTTTTATTTAATTTTTGTAAAATACTGTCGAAGGTCTACAATCGAATTGGGGTAATTTGTGGTTTGCCTGCAAGGATTTTACCTGTGCAGTATCACTTCTCATAAATCCACTTTCGATAATTTCCAGTTCTTTCAACGAAGGATCCAAAATTTTCATATTTCGAATGACGTTGTTATAGTTAAACGCGCTGGATTGGATCTATTCAAAGTAAAATTGTTAATGCCATTTGGACCACGCAACACTCCAGCTAGGGTACCTTTTGATTCAGATCGGATAGTTTCCGATCAAAATCGTACACACAGTTCTTTTGCTGATGACTTCGTTCCTCTTGCAACCTAATAACATTTTTTAAATCTTCAATTTCACTAATGAGCTGCTTTTGATCCGTGATACTATACAATTGGTTACTAATGGCGTACTTTAGGTTCTTTTCCATTGCGATCAAATCTTCTAATTCCTTATCTGCAACAAACGACTCGATCACTCACGGTACGATAAACGTGCGAGACATACCTAACTGTTCGCTCTTCTTCGAGATAGTCACCTTGTGCAGGGTAATTTTCTCCTCAAACGCCTTATTGGAGAGAAGGAAAGCTTCGCATTTATTGTGTAAAGAGTCACATTTCTCCTTTAACGCCTGCAAGTCAGTTAGTATAAGAGATGCGGTTATGTGGTAATAAAACAGAGATGTGACAATTTAGTCGGTTACACATAGCTAGAACATTCTCGAAAACAAGTTCTAATAATATTCCCGAGTACGTGTACTTTATTTTTAGCATAAGCTATCAGAGGTGGCTATGGGCAAGTTTGTCGAAAATGACCGGCATTGTCACAATTCCAACATTTCGCAGTCGCATTATTTCTGGTTATGCTCGAGTTGCGACATGCAAGGTGAGGTTCAGACACTAACTGTACGCTAGTACGAGGTGAACAATAGCGTTGTGCACGCCAATAACTTTCCTCAACGGATCGGTCATGACGCATTGAAATTGACTTGATTTAACCGTAATGCAAAATCACGCATTTGATACCGTTAACCTTTTGTTCGAAATCGTTCACGTTTTTGGTGTAATGTTTGCTTAATTTATTTTTACATGGTCTTTGACTAGAAGTAATATTCATAGAAATTGTTGATAATCCTATATATGTGGAAATTACAGATTCATATGATGTATATACTTACTCACTTGTTTTCTCCGCAAATGAAGCGGTCACGAGGTAACCAAATTAGCCTAATGCCGTGATTCAATGATTTCCACATAGTTTGTCGTAACATTGAATTTGCCTACAAGGCCATGTAATTTTCTATTTTGATCCTAACAAAAGGATTTTATTACACCAAAGATAAGTCGCATTGTGTATACTTCACTTTCTCAGAATCTTGGTGTATCTGCTTACCTAGCCCATTGTTCCCAAAACTTGTTTTTTACCTAGATGTCCCCTCTTCAAGCCTATATTCTTTTTTCCCCCGGCCTTTTTTGATTTTTATTCGGTGAACTCCTATTTTCAAAGTTATTCTTACAATAAAACATTTCTCGGGAAAACACATTTTCTTATTAATTTTGGTGCGTAGAATCCAAAACAATTCGTACTTTTTCGAGTAGTGATTTCAGTGGAATTTAGGGAATTTCAAGACTTAAATCAATGTTAAAATGTTATTGTTGTCGGAAACCAATTGTGCCCAGAGAAAATTAAAAAAAAAAAGAAATTGTTTAATTTGAGCTAGCTAGGTGTCTGTTGGCTGGTATAGTGACCGCATATCATTGCTCAAGAATTATTTACTTGACGCCCAACGTGAGGTCACAGCATTAACTATTTGGCGCCCAACGTGGGGCCACAGCATTACTTATGTGGCGCCCAACGTGGCGCGACAGCATTAATTATTTGGCGCCCAACGTGGGGCCACAGCAATATATATGCACCAATGTAGGTAAATTGTGAATAACGAAAACGACTTCCACTTTTAACCCACCATATTTTCCATCCGTTTCCTTTTATTTACTTCGGCATAATCGATCACGCTAGCTTCCAAAGTACGACATCTCTGCTCCGACTGTCTTAGCCGCTCTAGATCGTTACCGAAGTATTCCCCTGAAATTTAGTTTTTCGTACAAACCATGCCCAAAGGTAAACGTTATTACCTGCTGTATTTTCCAACTCCTTGAGTGGTTTCACCAACTCACTGCTCGACTCCTCCATCATATTCCATAAGTTGTACATATCCATAAAACATTTTAATGCGGCCTGCAATTACCCTATAGTTAGTCATGGTAGAGCACCACAATTTTAATTACATCCTGCAAAGTGGTCCCATGCGACTTGTCATCACTGCTGGATTCGATGACATCATGCAACCATGCCAAAATTGCAATGACGGAAGGCCACGAGTGAGGTATATTCACTAAAACTATCAATGCAATTCCGTGTTAAAAAGAACTGAACGTACCTGCTTTCATAAGTGACGGTTTCACGCTGATCGGATAGCGAAACAGGCGTAATCGCGACGGAACTTCCTCTATGTAATTCTCTCGATTTATAATGATTCTTTTGTCGATCCTTCGAAAATACGCAGCGGTTACCGCAATGAACATATCCGTCGGCATTCCGGCCTTGATTGCGTTGTGATCGATCTGCGGTTCGTTGCGCGCAAAAAAGCTCCTAACCTAGTGAAGCCCGTTAGTCACTTGACACCCTTGTTACGTTACACACCTTTACAAGCTGTTCGTACTGCCATTTCTTATCGCTAATCGGCCTACTGTCTTTTTTAATGGATGAAAGAGTCGGCGATTTTCCAATGGATCTTCCTCCGGATTGGGTTAGGGGCGTCTATTATAATAATTCACCAATTACAGAAGATTTTTTAAGGTGGTCACTTGAAAAGTACTGGTGAGCAACAGCTTCTTGTGATTTGCCAAGTACTTGCCAAGTGCCGCATAATGTCATTTGAGAATGCAGTTAAACTGATTTTCCTACCCGCAACAAAGATCCACTTCTTTGACGACTGACACGTGCCGGTTCACCTAAAGTGCTCTTGGTGCGCTTGCGATCGATCGATTTCTTTCGACTTGCCTGCCCCGTATCCCTTAAACGGTCCTCTTTAGATATCACAATGAAATTGGAAAATATTACCTTATAGGAAGTCGAGATAGTCTCGCACCATTCGATGGTCCAGCGCTGTGGCTTCTCTCACGTCTCGCGGCTGACATTCTCGAAAGTACAGCCACAGAACAATACACACATTTATGAATACAACGGTTTCCAAGTTTTCGGTGATTTGTAAACAGCTAAACACCCAGGAGGAAATTGAGAAAATTCGTTACAATTCAAATGTACGTGTTCACAAAGAAACTTTACACGTAAATAGTTGCCTCTCTCTCCCACTTGGGCTGTATTTCAATGAAAAGAGAGGTTAACAAATCTGTCATTGAATCTGTCTAAGGTACAGACTACAGAGTAAATTTTTAATATATCACAGAGTAGAGTAAATAGTACCGGGTGATTCATTAGAAGTGAGGACAATTTGAATTTCCCGCAAATAAAAAAAATTGTGAAGTGGGTACTAACTGATGATCATTTATTTAATTGCAGTGGTGTATCGTCATGCTCTCAGGAAATCGTTTACTTATTTATAATCTACAAATACTGCTTCTGTTTTACCACAAATTACAAACTAACACTAGACACAGTCATGTTTGGTACATATTTTAGTGCATCAACTCTAAAAATTGTTCAAAATGGAAAAAGTAATAAACCGCAAATAGCACACAACAATTAACGGCGACACTGGTTTCTTAAATGACAGTCATGACAGAAGAAAATTACTAACGAAATTCAAACCGTCAATCTAATAATGCAAAAAATACTAAAACCTTACGCGCGAAATTCAAGCGATCATCACTTCTAATGAATCACCCGGTATTTTACATTATTAGCCAGGTAAGTGAGTTTTTACTGGCGATAGGAGAAGTTGACTGGCGAGCCGTCAGGCGAGCCTGTCATCTCCTAGAGCCAGTAAAAACTATTACCTGGCGTATAATGTACAATATTTTATTTGTTACTCATTTGTAAACAATAGTAAACGTAAATTTCTTAAATTGATCTCGAAGAAATGTCTAAAATATCATATTATCCATGTAACAAAGACTTCGCATTAATTCTGGCCAATGAAATTACTAGTCGCTTAATGTTATTCGTTTGTTTTTATTTTGATAATGTTTAAACGTCAAATTTTCGCTGCTTGTACTTCGAGAAGGGGAGAGATCGACGCGACACGTGGCGGAGAAATATGTAACTAACCTAAACGGGATAAATAATATGCATTATGGCTGAATGTACGTTAAATTCGTCCTCTTTAAAAAAAATAAGAGCAAGAATTATTGTTGTGTGCCTCAGTGTTTCACTGGATATGAAAGGGGTATATCAATGCATCGTTTTCCTATTAAAAACAAAACATTAAGTGAAAAGTGGAAGATAAAATTAAAAATAGGAAAACCATAACATCTACCATGCAAGTTTGTAGTAAGCATTTTGATTCAAGTGATTACTTTTTACATGGTAAGTAAACTGTAAATCATCATGTCCACATCTTAAACAAATTTATAGGTTATCAAACCCAGAAACGAAAATTGAAGAAAAATTCTGTGCCCTCTAAAATATCTGGCAGTTCATCGTGCTGTGTTGAAACAAAACCCTTCTTCACGTGACAGTAGCGATTAATAGATTCGTCATCTTCAGAGTATAAGTGTAGGTACTTTCTTTTTACCCCATGCTTGTTGCAAGTCAGTGCAACTCAATGTTTCTAATTCATACCTAAAATATGTGCATGAAGAGATTATTACAGAATTATATTGATTCTTACCGGTTAACATATATGAACACTCCTGTAATATGTTTACACTTGCCACCTGCCCCCACTTTACAAGAACAGCTACACTGCCAATCTTTAGGTCCACCTGTATGTTATATATAGGTATATTATGAAAAGTGAATCACAATTAAATACTTACTTGGATTTAAAACAATACGTACAGAGTGAGGGACACCTGTTAAATTCGACGTTTGTAAACACAGTGCAATAGCCTCACTTTCGTTTTCGCTGGTAGTGCCACATAAAATAATATGCCCTGCTTTAACAAGGCACTCGCCTTCAATTAGTGGTCTTTGTGTCCGTGTCACTAATAGATCCGCCAAAGTAATCATTGCAATTAAAACACGGCAAAACAAAGTAATACTCAATGGTAATACGTATGCACGATACATACAAAACACAATTTAACCCCGTTTACACCGCCCATTTTGTTTTGTGGTAGCGCCATCTGTTATCACTTCCCTTCTCGAAATGGCTCGTTTTGGTTACACTAATGAAGATTTTTTCTTCCTTTTTTTGTATTTTTGTTTGAAACAAACCGTTATTCCTCAAATTTGACGTTTAAACATTATCATAATAAAAACAAAAGAATAACATCAAGCGACTGAATTTTTTTATCAATTTGCCACAAGAAATAACTAAAACATGGAATATCTCGGAAACCGTTTGAAGCAGCTTTTGACATTTTGCATCAAATTAAATGTCTGGGAAAAAGGAAAACAATGGTGAAGAACAAAATGGGGGGTGCCATTTAAAAAAATGGGGTTATGGATATTTAAAAATTGAGAGCTTTGAAAAAGTGACGTTGTCTCACTTTTTTAGACGGTTTCGTATACCATAAGAAAATTCGATCTTTCCTTAATAAAGCATTGAGAACTGTTTTGCAATATCTCTCACCGTTTTCGAATAATACATTTTTAAAATGACCCCTGCAAATTCAATTTTTGACATAAAAACTTGAATATCGACGAAGCCTTTGGAGCCAAGGGTCAACTATGGGGTATCGTTGTACTCCAAATTCGACGTAGAATCCGAAAATGTAGAAAAAATAGGGGGTCCCTATTTAAAATAACAAAGTTGATGGCTACTTCCGGTATTTCCGGAAGTGGCGCCATCTTGAAAATATTTTAGTTCAATTCATCATGTGCCAAGACCCTTAAAGAACTTATCAGTTTATTTTCATTTTCAAAGGTTTTCCATATCCTAACTGACGCTCGTCAAGAATGACCCTGTATATTGATCATACCGTTACGTGTAAAACTTCCTTTAGATTTCCTTGAAAGTAATATTTTGATTGGTCGAGACTACGGTTGTACTTGGGGAATACCGGTTTTTAATGTGAACTCTACATAAATTTGATTGAATTTCCTTTCCATTTTCCTTAACGACTAGATAACAGTATTATCAATGATAGCAAGGTTATCTTTATCAGTTATTTTTCGAAAATCGATTGCCGATCATTTATCTCTTTGTTGTCCTATTTGCGGTTGATAGTGGAGAGTGAGTCATTTTTAAGTGCACATCTATTGTTTTGTGTCCACTACGCAGAAATGTACAACATTATTAATTGCAAGGCTTTGTTGGAGGAGTTAAAGTGTAAACAATGTTCCAAGTTTCTGTCCGTTCTTCCAATCTATTACTGCTCGGCGGTCGGAAACATTTGCGGTCGATGTGTTTCCACCGTAGATTGGATGATATCGAACGGTACGTTGGAACGTGCAGTCGCCTACGAAGCGGTCGCTAAGTTTCTCATTTTCCCCTGCGCAAATTATAGTAATGGCTGTCAACAGAAGCTGCGAGTGGACGAGGTCGAGCAACACGAGAAGATGTGCGCCGCTGTTCCGGTTCGGTGCCCCTTCAATGTCGAGTTAGGGATAACGTCACTAAAATGCGACTGGAAAGGTACGGCTGTAACAGTATCGGCTCACTTAAACACGGAGCACAAGGACGCCTTGCAAGTGGGACTGCCAGTTTTTGTTATGAACGTCTTCGACACAAACGTCAAGCATTTCTTCACCACTCTTGAGGGGCAAACATTTTTGCTTGTCTCCAAGTACGTGAAGGATGTAAATAAGTTTTACTTCACAGTTATGTGCTGCGACACGGAACCGAATCAGCGTTGTTACCGGTTTCAGCTCGAGATCGGAAGACACAATGATTACTTTTTGATCTTCCGAAAGCCGAACTTGGAGAGATTTAGTGACGTTCAGAACATGATCGATAACCCTGAAAATATGATCAGCGTCGATGTCGCGTCCCTCTTAACAATGCTGGATGATCCTTCTGGATTGATCTATTGCAAAGTGGGCATTTCCAAGAAAACCAAGAAGGAAATCGCGGAAATCACTGGCAAACCCGATCCGCCCACTCCCAATCAAAATAATCCCAAACCGAAACCGAAGAAGTTCCCCGGCCCTGCAGGAGGCCCGCCGGTTAAGCCAAAAAATAAATTTACACCCAAGCCTAAGACCCCCAACGTAAATGTGGGAGAGCCCTCGCAAGTGAAGATACCGCCACTGATGCCCGAACAGCCCGCTAAGAATCGAAGCAAATTCTTGGAAGAGCTGGAGTGTCCCGTTTGTAATCTCTACATGGTCCCTCCGATCTTCATTTGTCCGACGGGGCACAGTCTCTGCAACAAGTGCAAGCAAAAGCTGAACACGTGCCCAACGTGCCGTGTTCCCATGCAAGACACCCGTAATTTTACATTGGAGAAACTTACGGCGACCGTAAGATACCCGTGCTGTTACACGGATTACGGGTGCACTGTTGTTCTGCAAGCCGATCACATTAAAATTCACGAATTGCATTGCAACTACGCGTACGGTAAGTGCCCGATGAAATTCGTCGCCGCATGCGATTCCAATGACGTAGTCGACGTGGTCGGCCACATACGAGAGAAGCACCCCCATATGTACATCGAACCAAATCGACAGTACGCCAGGGATATCGGATCGGTAGTTACGACGTCCTATTGGGCGACATCGGTCGACGGTCAAATATTCGTCATCTGCTGCAAACACAGCAATACGACCGGTCCGATTAAGTTCTGCGCCCTGCATGTTGGTCTCAACAGTAAAACTAAGCAAAAGTTTCGCTTTCGTTTAGAATTTTGTGACCAGACTTCCAACGGGTTGAGATTCATAGTCAGCCAGCTCTGTAAGGAGTTTCCGCAGAATCCGAGTGCAGCATTAAAGAATTGCTTCGCCATACCGTTAGATATGTTGGAGCCGTTCATTGTAAAGAAGCCCAATCCGCGTTTATTTTTCAAAATTTATATGGAAAAAATGTAATAGTTTTTGTATTTTTTGTGCCTATAGATTTATTGTTGGTTGTTCAAAATAAAGTGTTGATTTAGTTTCTGACACTCGTCTTTTTTTTAATGTTTTATGGCTTACAAATAGATAGATGTTTTTGGGGATAATTATTAAAGGCAATATTATTATTAGATATACTGTCTAAGGACCTTTATCACTGGCGTTTTCTCATCACGCACCATTTTTTTTTGTTGATTTGCTTAAAAGTTGCCAAAATCTCGTTACGATGTTTTAAAAGGTGATAAGAAATTTGATTCGGCTCAAAGGACCAATGAAGTGCTCATTTTTATCATCTTAAAAGTGGTATTTTAACAACAAAAAAAACTAAATGTTGACATTGAAGGATTTATGGCAAATTGGCCAAGAACTTCAACCTGAGCTGCTTCATTAAGCAATCTTGGTTGCTGGAACATACGGACAGACCAACAGACAGACGACCGACCGCAATGCGAAATTATAAACAATAGCTCTTAAAATAAAGAACTAGCAGCGTCCCAAATTTTATATGCTTTCTGCGTGAATTCCGTCCGTCCGAGGGTTTGAGATCTCTGCATTCAGGCCTTGTAGAAGGCTGCGGTTTTTTTAAATAGGTTTCAGCACAAATGTGGGAAAATAGAAATGTCGAATAAGTTTCTGCGCAAGCGCATCCTAACTTGCGTGCGTGAAGGTAGCCAGTTCACGATAGCCAGTACGCGCCAGTACATCAGTACTCTGTAGTACCGTTTGAGTACTATCTTAAAATGACAGCAAAAATTTACTACCTATGAAGAACGCCGAATTTTTATGTACTGGCTGGCGGGATTTGGAAGCTAGCCGAGTACACTGGATATCGATAACCCGCACATTAATATACAACGGTACTATTTAGTACTTCTTGAGTACTGAATACATACACAATCAGTTTCTTGGTACCTTTAAGAGTTGCCTTGTACTGGCTACTGTCCAAATTCCACTAGCCAGTACTCGATAAATGGATAACCAGGATATAAACAAACAGTAGTACTATTTAGTACTGCTTAAGGATTGATTAAATATAAAATCAGTTTTCTGATACCATTAGGATTACACTAGTACCGGCTACCTTCCAAATCTCGCTAGCCAGTACAGTGGATATTGATGTACGGGACATAAATAAGCGATAGTACGATTTCGTACTTCCTATGTAGCAATCAACTGAGTGGTACTTTTAAGGATTACCTTGTACTGGCCATCGTCCATATGCCGATAGCCAGTACACGGGAAATTAATAACCAGGGCATAAGCAAACAGCAGTGCCATTTAGTACTGCTCATGACTGATTCAATGTGCGGTTCATTTTTTAGATAGCTAGGATTGCACTAGTACTGTCTACTTTCTAAATCCCGCTAGCCAGTACATGGAATATTGATGTACTTACGGTACATAAATAAGCCTATGAGTTTGTACTTTCTAGATAGTAAATGTAAATAGAATTGTGTGCTTTAAAGATACTTATACTATGCGATCAAAAATGATTGTCGCCTTTGGAATTTTGTGTACATGGGAAATCGTACTTAAGGGCCGATTCTACAATGCAGGTATATACCAACCGAAAATAAGCTATACCTAGAATAACTGTCGACGTTTGCGTTGGTTACAATTGTGTCAACCAATGTTGTTATGGTAGTTATTCCAAGGATATCTGAGACAATTTTTTTTGCGAGCCTCAAGAAAACACAGTGTATAACCTTCCTTTTTTACCAAAAATCGACTACACCAAAATTTCTCGCGAAAACACTTTTTCTTATTAATTTTGGTGCGTAGAATCCAAAACAATTCGTACTTTTTCGATCAGACTTCTCAATCAAAAGTTATAGACTAGAAACCAATTTCGAAAAAAAATTCAAAGGGCTGTAACTTTTGAACTAGTAGCCCAATCTTGGAACTGTTTGAAATTATGGATTCTACAGGCCACATTCTATAAGAAAATTTTTTTTCCGGGTCGATCTGAGACAATTTTTTTTTCGGGGCTCAAAAAAAGGCAGTGTATAACCTTCCTTTTTTACCAAAAATCGACTGCACCAAAATTTCTCGGGAAAACACTTTTTCTTATTAATTTTGGTGCGTAGAATCCAAAACAATTCGTACTTTTTCGATCAGACTTCTCAATCAAAAGTTATAGACTAGAAACCAATTTCGAAAAAAATTCAAAGGGCTGTAACTTTTGAACTAGTAGCCCAATCTTGGAACTGTTTGAAATTATGGATTCTACAGGCCACATTCTATAAGAAAATTTTTTTCCGGGTCGATCCAAGACAATTTTTTTTGCGAGCCTCAACACAGTGTATAACCTTCCTTTTTTACCAAAAATCGACTACACCAAAATTCCTCGGGAAAACACTTTTTCTTATTAATTTTGGGGCGTAGAATCCAAAACAATTCTTACTTTTTCGATCAGACTTCTCAATCCAAAGTTATAGACCAATTTCGAAAAAAAATTGAAAGGGCTGTAACTTTTGAACTAGTAGCCCAATCTTGGAACTGTTTGAAATTATGGATTCTACAGGCAACATTCTATAAGAAAAATTTTTTTCATCAGAAACAGACCTGTTTTGTTCAACAGACTTGTTAGTTTTTAGACAAGAACCACGACCGCCAGTGACTTGGTGCATGCGCAGTAGTGCAACGTTGGAGTACTGGCGCATGCGCAGAACTCAAAGTGCGCCAGAACCGGCGTTACCATACAACTGTGCGCACAATGTCCTTCGATAGAAAACGGCCCACGTATTAACCCCCCCCCGCTATAAAAAGGGAACGTTTTACCTCACATCTACAATACGTAGCCAGCTCAAATCGATTTAAAAGCAACTCCACTTATTTTCAATCTGTGAAAAATAACATTAAGAAGTCTCTTACATAATGTACGTACCTACATTGGTAATTAGACGGACCATCTCCAGTCCAGAAGGTATCTAAGGTCCTGGATACGGTAACCTTAAACTAAAGTTGTATTTCCAAGATGAATCCCACCAAGTAATTGTTTAACAGTCCGCAATTTACTTCTGCACCGACGAAACACGATTCATACGTATAGAATTGAAGTCACCGATCAATCTAAATGAGTTTAAATATCAAACTGACCAATCTCAAACAAATCATAATATGAATAACATTTAAAGTGAAACAAGTAAATAATAAACAAATTCAAGTGTCGCCTACCCCTAAAGTTACATGTAGCTGAAGCAGTGGCGGCTTGTCCGATGAGGCAAGTGAGGCAGTGATTTATCGTAGGAAGTAGTTTTTTTTTATTAACATCGCTAACACACATATAAGCTGGCTGTATAAAAATATATAACTCTTTTACATTATGGCACACACAAATTTCATTCGATTATCGCGTTTACAGACTAAATTGGTGTAGGACAATCTTGAAAATAACAGTCGTAGATATATCCTAAATTACCCGAAATAATAAGATAAGAGACCAACAGAGTAAAAGCAATTAAAAAAAACACACAAAAACAAATACCAATTTTGCAGCACGCATGGGACGACAGCTTCTCCGTACTTCTGGTGCTAAAAACACACTCGGTCAGATATGCGCGAGTAATCGATGACTTACTTTAACTGCTTGTAACGACTAATTTGGCATTCCAAGTGACGATTCTGGTTGACAATTGCACCGAGCAATTTTAATTGGGAATGTTCTCGGAGAAGTTTGCCATATTGTATTGTAACGTTGACAGCATTGGCGACGTAGAGTGGACAATTTTCTACAAGCTGATGGGCGAGAAGTTTGTGTTTTGTCGACAAGTGGGTCTCAACCGATGTCAGCACGAGTTTCACATTTTCGAAAACATCAAGTAAGACCCGCTGTGCTTCCTCTCCGAGCGTCGCTTGGGTTTGCAAACGACTTTCAATTGTTTCGCTATCACATTTAAATGCGCTTATAACCTTTGGCAGTAGCTTGCTGGTCACGCTAGAAACATATACCGACGTGGAATGTTTTGAAATTTTACCACACTTACTCTGATCCCAGTGTTTGGTTCGAAATCTGGTTGGATAGATGATCAAGTTCCTGGAAAGGTTTTAATAATAATTAGAGAAGGGATAGAATTGACCAAAAATCAGTACTTACTGAACAATCAAATTCGGCACTAATCATTTTCGACTGTAAACTCTCGAATTTAAACTTCAAAATTTCAATCGGGAGCGTCGCAAGGAGAGAATTAAACTCTGCCAAAATCGCACGCGTGCTCTCTCTAAACCGAGCATAATCAGACTTTAACATTAAAACTTCATTTCTAACGATAACATATTCTTCCTGTAGAGAGTCGCGCTTCCTATTTAACATACTCACTTCTTCTATCAGTTTATTACCATTACAGATCGCCACATTTAAATCTTGCTCGAGGCTATTTCGTTCGTTCAGTAGTTTTTCGTAGTTTACTTTCTCGAACTTTAGCAACTTACGCAACTCCTCAATCATCACCTCTCTCCTCTCCAGCTTCACCTCCATTTTGCTGAAATTTGTCATCCGTAGACTTTTGCCGTTGACCTCGTCGCACGAGGCACATTGCGGGCGGGCGAGTTTCTCTAAGAGCTCATTCTTCGCGGTCAACTCTTCGATGCACTGCTTACCAGCTTGCAGCTGCTCTAGTAAAGTCGTGCATCGTTCTGTCTGTTCTTCGGCGGTCAATGTAAGTGTTGCTATGTGCAACTGATTTTCACCCCGTTGCTCGGTTAGCTGCTCAATTTGCGCGTTCATTTGTTCTATCGACTCCTCCAGATCGAGAATTTGCGATTTTTGGCGCGATATTATTTGGAGGCATTCGTTTCTGTGGAAATCTTGGTCTGCCTAAAAAAATAGGCAAATTAAAGATTCAGTAGAAATGACTTAGTAGTAGAAAGGAGACGTTATCCCCACCACTTTTTAATTTTGGAAATAGAAATGCCCACTTCATAGTGTATACAGGGTGTTTTTTTGGGAGCTTTAGTTAAACGTTTCTGGGAACGTAAAATACGTAGGTTTTTGAAAATTTGTACTTAGGAGTTACTCTGAAGGCCGAATCTATGTAAAATATTTTCAAAATGTCCGCACCTCCGGAAACACCGGAAGTAGATAGTAATTCCGTTATTTTAAATGGCAACCCCTATTTTTTATTGCATTTTTGGATTCTACGTGAAATTTCAGTTCTTTTGATACCCATATGTCGATATCTGCCATTTATGGTTTTTAAGTTATTTTGACTTTAAGAAAAAAAATGGCGGATGCAGATGGTACCTTGATAATTGATTACTTGAAAAAGGTTATAGTCATGGCAACCCATTTTTATCAGTGCATAGAGAATGAATAGGGCTTTCTTTTAGTGTACTTAAAAAAAAGTTAAGTTGCGTACAACCGCACCTATGGAGATCCAAATTTAAGAAACTTCAAAGTCTATAAACTCAGTTTTTTTAAATGGAATGACCATGTTCTTAATATTGCATGAGATAGAGAATCGAAATTGGCATATTTTGATATTACATGTTCCTATAGCTATCTTTAACAGTTTCTGATTTATTCCCATTTCATTGGATTGATCTCGGGATTGATGCCATTTTTTTTCGCATTTTCTTTTTAGTAGTTGGCCATGATTTTATAACAATCGAATTTTAAACAAATCAAGGAATGGATTCTTTAATACCATTGATTCTAGTTCTAGTCTAAATAATTCATTAATAAATAACTCATTTATTAAGGATATAGGACGGAAACAGAGTCGTTCAACTGAATTTCTTAAACAACGTATAAGTCTGGAAATTAAGAGAGGTAATGCGATATCTGTTCTAGCAACAATTCCATACCAAAAATGTTTCAACAAAGTTTTTTATATTTTGCATTGAATTTATTTTGTTAATCTTGCATTTGCAATTCAATTCTGTTTTCTTAAATATTCTCGTGCAGAGCTTTGTATCACTTGTGCTTCAACGGTTTTTTGGGGGTTCAACATTTCCAAAATTCATACAATTTCGTTCCAGTGTTCGAATGAATGTACGGCAAGCACGTGCCGCGATTCTGTCCATTTCACCATAAATAACAATTAAATTCCAAAATAGGTGAAACCACTGCGAGTCATTTTTCGATTTTTGAAAAACTTATGTTAATCTATTAAACAGGTGACGGATTGGTGTCACTAGATTTTTTTTAAATTCGATTTTTATAAAATCATGGCCGACTACTAAAAAGAAAATCCGGAAAAAATAGTGTCAATTCAATAAAATGGGAATAAGTCAGAAACTGTTAAAGATAGCTATAGGAACATGCATTGTCAAAATATGCCCATTTCGATTCTCTATCTCATGGAATAGTAAGAACATAGTCATTCCATTTAAAAAAACTGAGTTTTTAGTCTTTGAAGTTTCATAAATTTGGATATCCATAGGGGCGGTCGTACGCAACTTAACCTTTTTTTTAAGTGCACTAAAAGAAAGCCCTATTCATTCTCTATGCACTGATAAAAATAGGTTGCCATGACTACAACCGTTTTCAAGTAATCAATTATCAAGGTACCATCTGCATCCGCCATTTTTTTTCTTAAAGTCAAAATAACTTAAAAACCATAAATGGTAGATATCGACATGTGGGTATCAAGAGAAGTGAAATTTCACGTAGAATCCAAAAATGCAATAAAAAAATAGGGGTTGCCATTTAAAATAACGAAGTTACTATCTACTTCCGGTGTTTCCGGAAGTGCGGCCATTTTTAAAATATTTTACATCGATTCGACCTTCAGAGTAACTCCTAAGTACAAATTTTCAAAAACCTACCTATTTCACTTTCCCAGAAACTTTTAACTAAAGCTCCCAAAAAAACACCCTGTATACACCAAGTCCTCCTATTTTCTTAAATAATCCAATGCTTACTTACGGCCTTGAAGAATGACTTACCAGCAGAATTTCATCGGACAAACTATCACGACGTCGCCCATTACACAATAATTTTAGGGTGTTTGCTAAACTCTCATCCGTAATATTGAAGATTTCCGCCTTAGATTCGCCACTATCCGATATATCTACAGATGAGAGCACAATGATAACATCGACATCCAACCACACTCACCCTTCGTATCAGATGTAAAGGTACAATCACAACTCTCGATTGGATTTTCCGTATCGTTGTTATTAATTTTATCTACACGTGGACTATCCAGGTTGGGAGAAACCGGATTTTGTAGGTTGTACAAAAGACGAGGGCTGTTATATTTGAAAATTTTGCAAGTAAGTGGTGTGTTTGCGTCTGAATTTAAAGACCTTCGGGGCGTGCAGTTCAACTGCATCGTGTACAAACTACATTCAGGTATGTGCTCCTGAACCGAGTCCTCCAATACCTTCTTATCGTCCTCCAATATATTAATTACTTCGGAGTAGTGGTTGATATACTCCTCTTGCCGATTTAGCTTCGCCTGTAACTGACAATTACTGTCGAAAAGCGACGTTATCGATTTCTCTTTGGATTCCAATTCGGCCTCTAAGTTGTACCATGCCTTCGTTTGGTCTTTCAGTTTCTGATCGAAGATTTCAATTTTCTCTTCTAGGTGTTTTTTCTGAAATCAGAGTGTTATACAGATTGGCTGTGAACTAATCTGCTAAAACACGATAACTATTGATGATGATGACATAGTTTATTTACGCATGTTTCTAAAACGCGTTGTAATGTATTGTAATGAACCACATGGTACCGTAATATAGGTATATCAGTGATATTTCTTAAGAAGTAAACTTAGGCGTTTACATGTACCTATTGTTTTTCCCTATGTCTACTTTTAAATGACAAATTCCTTCTGAAGGGCGCCTAATTTTATGCAACCAAAATAACTACCTCCTCAGTCTGTTTCGCTATCGTCTCGTTGAGGGCGGTTATTTCCTTCTCATAAAACTCAACTGACTTTTTCAATTTAAAAATTTGGTTATCATACAGCGACTTCAACTCGGCAACACAGTTCGCTACATCAGCTCGCTCGTCTTCAGCTTCTTTTACCTCGGTCCTGCTACAAAAATGATTGAGAGTTAAACTGCGATCGACCATACTTGCTACTTGGGGAATTTCGGTGCGATTCCTTCACTTTCAATTTGCAAGAGATCGTTTTGTTCTTCGGCGGCCGCTAGTTGTAACTTTAGATCCTCGATCTTCCTGATCGAGTTCTGATATTTTAATTCTAATGTACGCACGTACTCCGAGGCGGGACTGTGATGTGTTCCGTTACAAATGGGAGGCGGAGATTGTGTTTCTAATCTGCAACGAAACGATATACTAGCACACAAGAGCTAGAATGGTCTAAGCAACGCGTTTACTATAAGGATGAAAATGGGTAGATTTATAATTTATTATTACAATTTTTGAAATTGTTACATGAGTAAAATTAATGTGCTGCAAATGTAATGATTCAATTTACATGTATCCAAACGTTCAATGTAATGAAAGAAATAAATTGACAGATATAAATAAGAGGAAGTAAATGGATAAGGATGGTTTTAGAAGAAAAAAAAACAAATATTATTATTATTATTATTTATTTTAATTTGTTGCCAGTACGTTCACTAAATATGTATATAAAATGGGCAATGTTTTGCAGTTTTAGATGCTTATTTAAAATTTCCTTATGGAAATTCAAAATGTCGCATATAGGTTCGACGTAAATTCAAAAAAACTAAAATTGGTCATTTCCTTTAATGTCTTATATCATCGAAAGTATAAGAGATACAAAAAAAAAGTTTTATATAAAAGTGGCTGTCTTTGATACGCTTAATTTAGAATTGATGTCAAAAAAAATTCAAGATGGCCACTTTTGAGGAACATTTACCAACTTCCTAAAGTTAAATGGGCGCCATATTGGATTTTTAGATTACTTGATAGATTTTTTAATTCTCTTTTCAACAAGCCATCATTATCATAACATAAGGTTGAAAATAAGATACCAGTTATATCAACGGTTTTTATATTTTAATCAAGTAGTCTGTGACGAAAAAAAAAAAAACTAAACAAAATCTATTCGAGGCAACAAAACAATGAAAATAATTACAACAGATGTTTAAAATACTGGCCATTATTAGTGAAACACACTTCAAGACAGTTTAGTTTAGGCAACGTGTTGCCATTGATGATTATTATTATTATTGTAGTGGTAGCTACTTCCACTTTGCTTTTATTTTTTAATTAAGTACTTACCTTTATAATTTAATGTACTGTATATACACCCCTGATTTTTTAAACATCTGATGTAATTATTTTCATTGTTTTGTTGGCTCGAATAGATTTTGTTTTGTTTTTTTTTAATTCATCACAGCCTACTTGATTAAAATATAAAAACCGTTGATATAACTGGTATCTTATTTTCAATCTTATGTTATGATGGCTCGTTGAAAAGAGAATTAAAAAATCTATCAAGTAATCTAAAAATCCCATATAGCACCTATTTAAGTTTAGGAAGTTGGTAAATGTTCCTCAAAAGTAGCCATCCTGAATTTTTTTTTGACATCAATTCTAAATTAAGCGTATCAAAGACAGTCACTTTTATATAAAACTTTTTTTTATATCTCTTATACTTTCGATGATATAAGACATTTAAGGAAATGACCAATTTTAGTTTTTTTGAATTTACGTCGAACCTATGCGACATTTTGAATTTCCATAAGGAAATTTTAAATAAGCATCTAAAACTGCAAAACATTGCCCACTTAATTAATTCTCTATCTTTAATAATAACAAAGTTACCCATGCAATCCCACGCGATCTGGGACACACTGTATAAAATTTTTAGACAAACAAATGGGGAACAATATATAGAAGTCATAAAAAACACCTAAAAGACTTATTTTTTTCTTAAAAATTCATCTAAGTGATAATTAGTCTGTTTAAGCAAAAACACTTTAAGTGTTTGCTTAAATCTTTGATAGGAGTTCTTTAATATTACAGGGTAAAGAGTTAAAAATTTGGCAGGCACGAAATAACAAATTTTTTTGAAACAGTGCTGTCCTATGTTGACCAGGGTTCAATAACGTCCTATGACGGGTATTGTACCTATCTTGAGTTTTTATAAAACATGCTCTCTTTTTATACGCATAGCAATACCTACATCTTTAGTTTTTGTTTTGTATTTAAATGTGTTTTAAAACTAGATTTGTACCTATTTGGTGACAAAATCACATCGGTCACATTTTAAATCCTTGGCACGAGTGCTTAGGACTACATTTATTTATAGACACTTGCGCTTATCTCGACCATTTGCCACTTTTTTGTGAAACTTGCAATACCATCAAACAGAATCAATCTATAGCTACGTTTGTTTCTGAGATACTGGGTGAAAACGAGAAGTTTGACTTTTTGGGTATGTTGCCATATCTTATTATCCATGTAAGATAGAAAAAACACAAAAACGGCTTATTCTAGATATTTTTATGTAAAATTCAAAAAAATTTTGTGGATCAGATTTGACCAAATGCTGGTATTTTTTAAATGCAACCACAACCTATATTTCTTTTATATAATTATATGTACTATGTTATACATATTTTTAAAAATTTTGATATATGTTTATACGTTAGCTATTTTTATTGATCGGTATCGCCTGCCTTAGTTACCATGGATATAATAGACAAAACAACATCTCCATGAATCCATGGCCTACTATTTAAAAACCGTGAAAAATAAGGTATTTTTGGTTCATAGCTAAAATTTAAAAAACAACTTTAGATGAAAGCACGGTGGTTCAAAAATCTACGCCACTGGATTCTACGTAAAAATATCTAAAATAGGCAGTTTTTACCTTTTTTCTATCTTACATGGGTAATTAAGATATGATAACATCTAAAAAAATCAAACTTGGTTCTGTTTGTTGTATTAAATGTTTCACAAAAAAGTGGCACAGGGTCGTGAAAACCTCTATTTTTAAAAACAGCTGAAATAGACTGCAGTCTGAACCAAAAGAATATACACATATTACATCACATTTAGGAACACCCTGTATACAACATAACAATCAGGGTGATGGAAATGAGCCCCTCGGTCACCAGAGGTTGTCAGTGGGATGCACTCCACACTCAGAACGATGACAGCCATTTAGCTAATTAAGCTAATTTACATTTGGCAAGTTTACTGGCGGAAAGTACAATAAAAAATATTGCTATGTTAACTTGCAACTTTGTGGACACGCATTAATATTATTTGTTATTAACGTTTCTCCGACAGTTTCAAAAAATGTGGGAGAAACAATCGATAAAGCCTGTCAGATACTTAACTAACGATCAATTATAAACCTGGATATTTTCACCCTTGATGTGATCAACACGTTGATTGAACATAGCACTTACCCAAAGTGGGTGTCGTTACTGTTGGCCCATTCCGTTACAATATGCATAAACTCCTCACACGTGATGCATGGATCTGTCCCATGCGGATCTAGCATCGCTTCTAGTTTTGTAAATTCAAACCTTAAACGTAACAATTATGTTAGACGTCTTTTCCCCGTTACCTTTACTTACACATTCGCCCAGTCGCTACTGTTGATAAACCGCAACAAAATCGACACAGTTACCGAGTTCTCACTGGAAACGTCGCAGTTCAAGTAAACATCGCGTGCAGCCCGAGATAAATGGTCACCTGCAAGTTCAGTGAAGAAAAAAAGTTGCAGTGATAAGCAAATTTGGCAAACCTGAATTTTCTGCTTCCATTTCGCTTCCGATCGTTAGATTATTGCATTGCAATTGCGAATTTAGCCAAACAAAAATGACAGCATGAGAAAAACGAAAAACCTGGAAGAATTTTCAAATAAATTTCAAACAAGTTCACATTAAATGACCAATATCGTACTGCGCATGCTTAATCCCATTAGTTAAAAATTCCAACCGATTCACGCTTTCCCATTAGTTAAAAACTACCTTGACTGTTCGCTAAACAGAAATATTGAAGCGGCTCCCATTCAATTTTGTATGTGTTGTAACTGGATTTCACTGCTCCGACCCGGTGCAGTTGCATCTGAGGTTCGAAACAAACGGAGAATTCAAACTTTAATACGCTGCGTTAGTTCATCGGGAAATTTATCGCTGTACAAATGCGCACCACTGATTGACGACTAATTCAATTTTTCAAATTCACTTTCAAAAATAACTACAAAATACAACAATCTCCCACCTTGAGGCTGGAATATAACTTGATTCAATACAATAATTATTTCGTCACACGCAGCACTATTATAAATGCGCTAATGAAAGCACATGCAAAAACGTCCGTCTGTGGGTGAAACTCTCACAATCAATCAATCAATCTTTATTTGTCCGTATACCATAAATAGGTTTTGACACGTCAGAAAATATAATTAATATTAAATTAGTACAATGCATATATATAAGAAGAATAATAAAAACAGTATAAATTTCAAATAAATAAAAGCTAGACAGACCATGTGGCTAAAACCGAATATAGATTATAAACAATTTAAAATTTTAGTTAAAAAGAGACAAAACAGAGATAAAATATAAACAAGTGTAATGTTCCTAGGGGGGGTCTATCAAGCCGACACGGAAGACGTTGACTTACCCTATACTTACGGTTGGCAACTCTGGCAAAAACTACAAGCAGAGCCACCTACCTTTCAAGTCGAAACGATGGCAGTCTCGCGGCACTTTTGAATTTGGATGACAGTCGGCTCGATATGGGAGGCACGAATGGACTCCTACGTTGTGTAATCGGTTCTTTTATGTGTTGGGACGTGAGACATAATCGGGAAGGGAATTAAATAAAAGACAGAACTTTTGTGCGTAAGAAATGACAAGAGCAAATAAATATATTAACGCACACACAAGACCATGCCAGGGAAACCTTCTCCGGGACTAAAACCCTGGCATAGGCCACACAAGTACATGAAATAAATCACCTACAGCAATAAAATGCGAGAGAAAATACACATAAATAAAACATCTCAAATTGTATGATAAAAATCAGAGAATCAAATCAAATGCAATTAAACAAGTTCATAAAAACAAAATACACAAGTCATCATAAATGCAGTGGAAAACATGATAAATCAATTCAGTACAAAAACACATCAAAATACCTGTACGATCAATTGAGATAATACAACTCATCAAATAACCAAATTGCATGTACATAGGAAACATGTAAATTGTGTGACTCTACTCCATCCTTCAGTTAACATAATTTAATTTACCACGAAAAGTACATATGAGAATGCCATTGGTCAATAGCAAGTATTCATGTGAAAATCGATTATCGCTCAAACAGAACATATTTTAAATAGGGGAAATGTTACTGAGAGGGCTCCCATCTCATATTGCGAGACACAGAAATGCAGCCTGCATGAGCCGAGCAGGTAACAGATACAGCGAAAGATCTAACTGCATTAGGTACCTACTCCACGGAGACAGAATAACCCACTCGCACACGCAAACATCGAAACATCAAATAAAAGAGCCCCCCTTTCGTATAGCTAACGCACAGAAATGCAGCGCGCCACGAATCAGCAAGTAACAGATACAGCGAACCATCAAACTGTATTAGGTACTTCCCTCACGGAATAGTTACGGGTCAATCGAACAGAGCAACATCACACCGATAATCAACTCCTCATGAATAACAGAAATAAATTATATACTTAATTAAACAAAATAATGGCATAATCATCTGTACAGTAATCAAACAGGATTCATCTAACGGTACACGAAACAAAGGCATGGAGTACGCCATGATTCAGATATCGTAGTTTATGCAAAATCAGCAAAATGTAAATAATATCAAATTGAGGCAAGAAATTCAATGATTAAATATCTAGTACAAGAAAGAATAAAATGGTTACTACCTGTAAATACACCTTCAAAACAAAATCACCCAAAATAATCAAGAATAATCAAAAAAACCGGGAAAGCGTGTGTCTTCTGTCGGCCTCGTCGCCATCTTCCCTCCATTCCCCTAGCTTCGTTACGAAAATCCCCTAGTATTCGGCATCTGCGCAAAACGGTCGTTGGTTATATACAGAGCATATTATATTTTTGTTTCAGATGTAAATGTGTGTTGCCTAACCATCAGGGTGGATTATCACACAAGTAAAGGTAAAAAAGACTAAAGAGAATACTACTCACAGGTACAAAAAATTCAAGTAAACAAACAATGAAATAAATAAATATCATTAAAATTATTGAATAGATCTCCAAGGCGTATGTAAATATTCACTAACGTTATAAAAATAATGACTTAATAAGTGCGCCTTAACGACTCTTTTAAATTAAAAAAAATTGTAAGGTTTGATACAATCAGGAACGATATTGTATAAGTCGACCCTTAGACTGTTATTTTTAGACCTACTTAGTTTATAATAGGGTGTTTTTATTTTTTTTGCTCCTCGTGTAGAATAGTTGTGAGAGAAGTGATTGGTTTCAAATTTATTTTTGTTTTTATGAATTTCCAATATGGTGTAATATATGAAAATAGATGGAAGGGGCATAATATTTAATTAAAATAGGTCGGCAGTGAGCACAATAGTCAGTATTTATGATTATATATATATTATATAAACAGTAAAGGCCCTAATATGGACCCTTGAGGGACTCCATGCTTAGTATTAATTAACTTAGAATATATACCGTCAATCAAAACACATTGCTTGCGATTATTAAGGTAGGTTGACATTAACGATCCCGTTAGTCCCCTAATCCCATATAATTGAAACTTATCTAACATAATATCAAACGAAACGCAGTCAAAAGCTTTGCACGTTAACGTGCGTGCATGTTTCAAGACCGTCTGTGTCCGGCATTACGCCCAACCACCAAACCCCGCGCTGGCACTCGACCTATCACTATTATCAGGTAACGACGTATTCTTCCCCGGAGACTGAGACGACTATATCCCTTTAAATACCCTGTATATTTCAAAGTCGGATGCAAACGGTCAAGTTGTTGGAGATTCTGGGGACATGAGCCACCGTCAAAACCACCTGTTGATATTAATTTTTTGAGTTTCCGAGGGAAGTGAAACTTGTTGATTGTTAAAGCTTGTTAGTGGCGGAAATATTGCATTCTGAGTTGTATTAATAGTTTTGCTTTGTTCTTGTGTTTGTGTTTAAGTTATATTCAGCCACTTGGGTGTCAGGTAAAATATTTTATGTAGTTCAACCTTATGTAGGTACCTATGAATTGTGCAATTTGTTATATCAGGTATTTTCCATCTACGAATCCTCCTATGAATAATATAGATCAGACATGTTTTTACAAGCTTCACATCACTCGCTATTCGGTATATAAATAACTAGTAAGGTGACTTATATCAATAAATGCATGAATGTGTTGCCTCTAACAATCTTAACTGCGCTACGGGTTAATAGGCAAATATGCCAGCCCAATCCCTAACAATACAACCGTGAAATAGGAGGGTAATCAAGCTGGCCCAAACCTAACAAATAACCAGGTTCACCACCCAATGACTAACTAAAATGTGAGTTGCCTTCTAGCCGTGACATGGGATGTTGTGACGAATATTCTACACATACTCTTTAAACGTCCCCTGCTACTTGAATACATCCATTAATTAAGCCAGCGTTACGTGTTTTGCTTAGGTGTTTGGTGTTTTAATTTGCTTGTGATTAACATAATTTGGATTTTATTCAAGGCTAAGGTTTTTTCTCAAGTCGCGCTCTTTTTCTCCTTGGCAGTCTGCTTTTGCGAGAGTGCGGCACCTTTAGGCATTGCTCGCTTTGCTTTTAATGTACCTACTACATCCCAATTCCCGGGTTTTCGGAATAAGTTTATATAATAAATAAACTCGCAGACATCACAGCGTTTTATTTGAGTGTTCCTGCCCGACTGAGTCCTGAGTAATTGTATTATCTTCGTGTAACGTAAGGGACGATCCGATCATGTGCCATTCTTTTGTTTTAAATTAATTAAGAAAGGTAACTGTGGAAAATGCTAAACTCACATTTTACATCACACCTACAGTATACAAAAATTAACAATCTGAGGAGGTAACTCTTGAATTTGAATAATTTAAATGTGATGTTAATTTAATACAACAAGTCAAAGAATGGCCAGTTTAAATAGATTTCGAAGCAGATCCACTCCTTTCCCATTTGTGAAAAATAATACTCGGAACATATTAATAATAATTAGCCGGACCTTATAAAGTCCAGAAAGTATCTGAGGGTTCTCGATATGGTAACCTTAGACTAAACAACACTCCGGCATTTATCTCTGTACGAACGAAACAGACGAAGGTGTTCAAATAGACTGTCGAGTATCCTTGATGATGAGTCAATAATAGTTTGCAGTAAGTTTATTGACATAAATATACATTTTCGGTATATAGTTCAAAAGCGGAAAGAACATACATGTTGCATCCAGTTTGAAAAGGTGTTTGCCTTATACATTTGGAAGTTTGTCATACGCTTCTTTGAAGTCGAGTTTGAAGTACCTACTTGTTCAACTTGGGCCCGGGACATTGATCACTCTCCCAATCATTTGAGCCAAGACTGTTACTAAAGTAAGCCAAGAATCTTGTGCAGAAGCATTTGAAGTTAACCTTCTGAAGTTGATCAATGTTACTCTTCAGCAGAGCTTCATCGCAATGGTCGCATCCCATATCGTGTCGTACTTCAATTTGCTTCGTACACTTGTTAAACTTGTCCTGGGGGCAATTGGCAATTTGATCATCGTTGAGTACGCACTTCCTCCACTCGTTTAGGTATTCGGAGTTTAGGCAACCCAAAGGAAACTTGATCAATTGCTGCCTGTGCACTTCCACATCGTAGCACCCCCACAACAATGTGGGGCTTTGGGGTAAATTTTTACATTAATGATTACTAGTACGAACTACCTGTCTATTCCGAAAGAGAACTACAGGTTATAAAGTCAAGGATAAAGAAGCGAAAGGGAAAAGGATGATGAGGATACCTTCACAAACATATAGATCAATTTTAAAGAAGCTGAGATGTCTGATTTCAAATTTCAAATGATCGATCTGCCTGATGAGGTAGATGCCGAAGTGATAAAAACTACTTCGCGGCATTCAACCTCGAAATACAACTTTAATCTAAGGTTGTCGTATCCAGGACCTTCAGATACCTTTTGGACTGGAGGAGGTTCGGCCAATTAACAATGCTGTTCGTGTGCTTTCTGTGAGAAACTTCGGAATGTTATCGGCCACAAATGGAAAAGGATTGGAGATAGCGGTACTTACGATAAAGAAGAAAAATGCAATTATATCCTTCCTATTGGAGTTTTTAGACGAATCCGTTCGCTAGTTATTCCAGAATCCCCAATTTAATGAATCCAATTGCTAGAGATTAATAAAATATGGGTAATGGCAGTAAAAATTCCGTGCGTTCTCAACTAACCTTTACCCTAAATAACCCCATACAAACCCAACTGTTGGTACTTAGGCGAAAGACAAAAAGGAAAGCACAGTAGTATGGACAAATAGAAAAAGACAAAGTCAAAAGAAGAAAAGAGGAAATGGAGCGGGAAAAATCCCCTAGCCGATGTTGTTGCTATGATCCGGAGGCCATCCTTTGTGCCCAACTAAACCATCCAAAGAATAAGAAGAAGGAAGAAAGAAAGAGATATGGAACATAAATAAATATTGAAGTCAAATCCAAAGAAGCATCCGGCGCAAACAAACGTCGGTTAACTTATAGGCTAAATACCTAATTCTACGCCTGAACGTAAAAGGTCCTAAGAATCTGGGAACCAATTTCGAGTCATCTTTAGTGGCATCAGACAAGGTCTTATTTTTTCGCCCGACCAGATCCCCTATCTCATAGTTCACATGCCTTGGTCGTAAGTCATTTGTTTCGGTCTTGACCGTCTTTAATGCGTACAGTGATATTGTCCTACAGTCCGAAACGTTGGTCCTTGGAGCCGAATCAAAATTTATTTTCGCTTATTTTGGTGTTTTCGAATCTTGAACGTCACTTTAACAATAGTTAAAATGATTCAAAATGTTAGTCCTTTGTGTTCAAAAAACAGAAGTAAATTAGCAACAGAAAAAATAGCATCTATTCAAGCATAATATAGGCACTTAAGTAGGTAAGCATACAATATTAATATATTTTAATGGAAACACTGTATTTAAACGTCTGGAAGGTTGTCATAAGCATCTTGGAAGTACTTGTTCAATTTGTGCCCCGGACACTTATCGTTATCCCAATCGTTTGAGCCGAGGTACTTGTTGAAGTAGCCCAAGAATCTTGTGCAGAAGCATTTGAAGTTAATTTTCTGAAGTTGATCAATGCTGTTCTTCAGTGCGCCAACGTCGCATTTGTCGCATCCCTTATCGTGGCGTACCGCAATTTGCTTGGTGCACTTGTTAAATTTGTCCTGGGGACAATCTACCGTTTGATCGTCGTTGAGTACGCACTTCCTCCATTCGCTGAGGTAATCGGAGTTGAGGCACCCGAAAGGAAACTTGATCAACTGTTGCCTTTGCACCTCGACATCGTCGCACTTTTGGGCGCGACAACGCTTGTATTCTGAAAAAATTCACATCAATTTGTTAAAATCTATACAGAGAAGAACTTACTTTGAGCATTGCAGGCAACGGCAAGGCAGACGACTATAATAGCTAAGACCTTCATTTTGAATGAACTGTAGATGACAATGCGCTTCCTGCTTTTATACCTGCCTTATCTTTTGTAGGTGTTCGTGATTTGCGCAAGTAAATTAAGTGTTTATTTACAATTTATCATCAGCAAGTACGGGATTCCCCTAATGGGGTAAACCATGGAATACTACTGCAACGCTATATTTGGATTTCGACGAATAATCTAATCTGTTGGACAATGTTCCGACTTTTCATTGTGTTTCCTTATCATTAGGTAAGATACCTTTATTGACTATGAATTTAGTGACGGTTATTTTATGGATCAATTTCTTTTTAATTAAGTTACACAACTATAATGGATTCAAAGTGCAAAGTTTCCAGATCGTTTTGGGAATTCACACATTTATGTGACATGGAACTTGCCAAGAAGACGTCAGGACTTGGTCCAAACGTTTAATTACTCTCTGGTAACAAATAATTAACATTTTCAAAAGAAACACACGAAGTGTTGGGTCTTGTCGTGGTTGTGGGGCTTGAGTAGTTCAGTGATCAAGGGGGCGTGTAACGGCCCCAAGTGAGAATCCAGACTAAAGACAACACAAAGATAAGTAGGTATTATCTTTGGACAACATCTTCGTGTTTGTGGCGTGCGAGGCGATCCCTAATAGCGGAAGAACGGATCCTGGTAGTTGAGTTACCCGAAGTGGCGACAGCACACTATCTACTTTGACCGGAAGGGAGGTCATGAATTCACAATTTTCGCAATTTCACAAAATTTCACGCATCTGACATAGATACTGAGACAAACAAACCCAATAAACCAGAGAGAACGTCCCAGGATACCCCACAAACTCTGATCTGATCCAAGAATTCGGCTTCGAATTCGACTCCTACAGTTGAGACTTCAGCGCCACAACAGCATTTTTGCACCTGACAGGCCTCCAAGTCAAAAAGATCACGAAACTTAGAATGAGTGTAACGGAAACCCGCAGAGGATTTAATTTTTTATTTTTGGGAGGACACTTCCCGGGTACAGTCCTGACCGTGTAATTGTGTATGAAATAATAGAAGCACTAACTTATCGCGACATAAGACGCGTCTTAGTTCAGATTACTGGCGGATGTTGCTAATTTTGCAGTATGGACTGATTTTGATTGGCGGAACCGACTAGCGGGACGTATTTTTGAAGTTGATTCGTGTCGTATCAGCCGTAGGACCCATTTTCACTTAAAGACGAATTTTCAGGTTTAAAAAGAGAAACTAACTGAAAATAAGAATTGTGGGCAATAATAATAAATGCTATTCAGAACGATTTGCATATTACAATACAATACAGGTTAAAACGTACAATTCATTAAGATAATCGGTACTTTTGACTAACCCTGTATATAATATTTTTTATTTTGTGAGTTTAATGGTTCTCTAAATATTACACACACTATTTGAAAGTCAATTATTAATAATTATTTAAAAAATAATAATTTCCATTGCGCGTTCGCGTGTTTCTGAAGTCGCGCTATTTACTTAAACTGCTAAAAAAAGGAAACAAATGGCCATTTCTTAAAAATTCCGGCAGAAAAACATTTTTGTGTCTTTTGGTCACAATTTATTCGATAGTACCAACAACAAACAAGTTAAAAAGTAATCGTAAACGATTTACATAAAGCGCATTTCCACTTGCATTCGTTTCCCATTTGTAGGATGCAAAGTTGGAACTGCGCATGCGCAAACCTAAATTTTGAAACTAAGGTTAGATTTTCCTTTGTTCCAAGCGCCTATATATCAAATTTCGTTTAAATTCTTCCATAAATAAAAAAGTTGGCACTGCGCATGCGCAAAACCATATTTTCAAATTAACGTTCGATTTTCATTTATTCCAAGTGCCTATGTATCAAATTTCATTCAAATACTTTTATAAATAAAAAAGTTTGCAATTTGGTTTAGAAATGGCCGAGATCGAGGTCGAGATGCGAAAAGGGCACTGTGAATTTTGAATCAATTCGACTCAACTTTTGGCATTGCGTATTATATGGATAAAGCTATGCCCATATTGAATTTAATGCAATTCAGTTCATAACTAACGGAGATGTAAAAGCGATCGGATATTTCTAAACAAAGTTATCGTTCACACGGACAGATAGAGGGACAGACAGACAAAGGAACAGAAGAACAGACCAACAGACAGACGACAGACAGCAATACAAAATTATAAACGATCTCTAGGATCGTTAATAAACGGCAAAAGTGTAAAATTATGGAACATGTAAAAAACGGTTTGTTGGTTTTTTTACAATAACTTTTTTTTGTAACCGGTACAGAAAAAATTCCTTCCTTGGTGCAAGACTCGACACCATAACGAACCAAATAGCGAAAAAAGTAAAACAATAGCTCTTAAGATAAAAAACTAGTAGCCTCTCAAAACGAGCGGACGGACGGACGGACAAAGTGGCCACAATAGCGCATTTTTTTTATTTTTGAAATGCGCTAAAAAGTTTCTCGTATGGTGAATTTTGCTCTGCGCGGATAATTAATGCGCGATTTTGTAAGGCTTGTTAAATCTACAGTAATACCAGGTAACGCATAATAATAATAATAATAATAATATTGTGGCCATTAATAGCTATGTTGGTAAGTATGAATTACATACTATCCCTAGATTTCCAATGTGAGTGTGTGAATATTTATTTTATTTTTTATTTTTTTTTAGAACCCTACATAACTTTACCAGACACAGACACTAATCGTTACTTGATTTTAATCCGTGCGATTAGTTAACCAGGCTAGACCTGAGTTCTCACAAGAAACACCGACCATAATAATAATAATAAGACGGCAAGAATAGGACCAGTCAACAACAAGGGACGTAGAGGGGTCGGATTCATTTACCAACCAGGAGCAATGAAACACAAGGAGGCTGAATTAAAAACTCAATTTATTCAAGACTAAAAGCAGGAGCAACCAAACCATATACATCACTTTCACTAGAATATTAAAGTAAAGAAGAATCTCATTTGGAGTCGCAAAACATGTAGGTTCAACTTTTAAATCTAATCTCAATAATAACAATAAAAGGTAGCTCTACATAATTTATTAAAGCGATTGAAATAGACACAAAGAAAAGTAAACAGTTTGAAGCAGACACCGTATTTAGCTTGTGTCTTTAGCATAAGCCTCCTTAAAGAATTTGTTCAATTTTGCCCCCGGGCATTTATCATTATCCCAGTCTGCGTTGCTTAAATGATCGTTGAAGTATCCCAAAAACTTTTTGTAGAAGCAACTGAAGTTAATTTTCTGAAGTTGATCGATGTTGTTCTTCAGTGCCACGGCGTCGCATTTGTCGCATCCCTTATCATGTCGAATTTTAATTTGCCTCGTGCACTTGTTAAATCTCTCCTGGAGACATTTGACACTTTGATCGTCTTGAAGGACGCACTTCCTCCACTCGCTTAGATAGTCAGTGTTGAGGCAACCAAAGGGGAAGTTTATCAGCTGTTGCCTTTGCACTTCGACATCTATACAATTTTTAGGACGACAACGTTTCAATTCTGCAAAAGATTAACGTTAATTAAAGGCGCATTACGGAATCTACTTACTTTTAGCGTTGCAACTTGAAAAGGCAAGGCACACTACGAGGATGGCTAAGTACTTCATGGTTGAAGAACAACTGAACGATTGTCCTTTTATATCGACCCTACACCTTTGTTTATTTCTATTTATGGGCAGCGTGGCTTTTCCATATTTACGGCTCTTCATTGTTTTGATCACAGATGAGACACTTTTATTTACATTAGACTGATTCGACAAGAGGAAACTTATTCTTATCGGACAATTTCCCAATTCACCGATTTACTTAGAGTTGGATGTATGTTAAATTTGGTACTAAATTCTTTGTACCTACCAAAATGCAGTTAACTACAAGTGTCACATAAATTCTTTACATCTGTAGACTCTATAGTTCAAGATTTCTTTAACCAAAGAGTATATATTAACAGAAACACTTTGATACTTAAAACACGCACAGATAATGCTATTGTTTATCCACATACTCAACAATCGTCCGATATGGCAAGTTCAAGTCATCAAAATAATGGTAAACTATTTACAAATACCTGTCATCAGAAACCAATTTCAACACAATTCTGACGTAAATTGATTTTACAGTCGCCGAAAAATTAAGAAAAAATGTAGTGAACTGTATTTGATTTGTCAGCGACTTTAGAAGAAAAGTGAGAAGTTTGGCCAATTAAAACCGTTTGTAGTAGATTTTGAATTAGTAGAAATTGAATTTATCCGAAAGTTACATTTTACTATAAAAATGGGTTTGGCATAGTTAAAAAAGAAAAGAATATCCATGTAAATAGGTTCAATTTGATTAGCCATAAAGTGAAATTTGTATAGAAGAAACAGAAAGGATACGAAGAAGGGATCTGGGAAATAAAACAGAGGAAGACTTTTTGAAAGATGAAAACCCGAGAAAAAGGGAGAACATAATAAGCGCAGGGGCGGACTGGCACGGGGGAGCGGGTGGCGATTGCCACCTAGCCTGTAGATCATAATGGCCCGTTGGAAATTTATAAGTATGTGCTGTATTTAGTTTCTTGCACTATTAATAAATTATTAACACGTTTCTCTAATTGGGATTGATCTCGGGGTTGATGTTAGGTTCTGTTTTAATTGAAGTGTTTTACAATGAATTTATCATTCTTTGTCGTAGTATTTTGAAAGTGCTGATATACAATGATAGGCGACGCACCTCGTGTGGATTGTATATTTTGTTACTTTTAATTATCAGCTGCAATTTAAAAAAAACTGTATGTTAATTGATTTTCGAAAAAGGAGTACTTTAAAATGTTTTTGTGGTGCAGCTCAGAGCTTGATTTTCGAAAAAGGAGTACTTTAAAATGTTTTTGTGGTGCAGCTCAGAGCTCCCCCCCCCCCACGGCACCTTCATTACTACACTAATACTTTAATGGCCCGTAAGTACACAGTCCGCCCCTGTGTATAACCTTCCTTTTTTACCAAAATTCGACTACACCAAAATTTCTCGGGAAAACACTTTTTCTTATTAATTTTGGGGCGTAGAATCCAAAACAATTCGTACTTTTTCGATCAGACTTCTCAATCAAAAGTTATAGACTAGAAACCAATTTCGAAAGAAAATTCAAAGGGCTGTAACTTTTGAACTAGTAGCCCAATCTTGGAACTGTTTGAAATTATGGATTCTACAGGCCACATTCTATAAGAAAATTTTTTTCCGGGTCGATCTGAGACAATTTTTTTTCGGGGCTCAAAAAAAGGCAGTGTATAACCTTCCTTTTTTACCAAAAATCGACTACACCAAAATTTCTCGGGAAAACACTTTTTCTTATTAATTTTGGTGCGTAGAATCCAAAACAATTCGTACTTTTTCGATCAGACTTCTCAATCAAAAGTTATAGACTAGAAACCAATTTCGAAAGAAAATTCAAAGGGCTGTAACTTTTGAACTAGTAGCCCAATCTTGGAACTGTTTGAAATTATGGATTCTACAGGCCACATTCTATAAGAAAATTTTTTTCCGGGTCGATCTGAGACAATTTTTTTTTCGGGGCTCAAAAAAAGGCAGTGTATAACCTTCCTTTTTACCAAAAATTGACTGCACCAAAATTTCTCGGGAAAACACTTTTTCTTATTAATTTTGGTGCGTAGAATCCAAAACAATTCGTACTTTTTCGATCAGACTTCTCAATCAAAAGTTATAGACAAGAAACCAATTTCGAAAGAAAATTCAAAGGGCTGTAACTTTTGAACTAGTAGCCCAATCTTGGAACTGTTTGAAATTATGGATTCTACAGGCCACATTCTATAAGAAAATTTTTTTTCCGGGCCGATCTGAGACAATTTTTATTTCGGGGCTCAAAAAAAGGCAGTGTATAACCTTCCTTTTTTACCAAAAATCGACTACACCAAAATTTCTCGGGAAAACACTTTTTTCTATTAATTTGGGTGCGTAGAATCCAAATCAATTCGTACTTTTTCGATCAGACTTCTCAATCAAAAGTTATAGACTAGAAACCAATTTCGAAAGAAAATTCCTAGTCTAGAAAACAATTTCGAAACTAAATTCAAAGGGCTGTAACTTTTGAAATAGTAGCCCAATCTTGGAACTGTTTGAAATTATGGATTCTACAGGCCACATTCTATAAGAAAAATTTTTTCCGGATCGATCTGAGACAATTTTTTTCAAAAAAAGGCAGTGTATAACCTTCCTTTTTTACCAAAAATCGACTGCACCAAAATTTCTCAGGAAAACACTTTATCTTATTAATTTTGGTGCGTAGAATCCAAAACAATTCGTACTTTTTCAATCGGACTTCTCAATCAAAAGTTTATAGACTAGAAACCAATTTCGAAAGAAAATTCAAAGGGCTGTAACTTTTGAACTAGTAGCCCAATCTTGGAACTGTTTGAAATTATGGATTCTACAGGCCACATTCTATAAAAAAAATTTTTTTCCGGATCGCTCTGAGACAATTTTTCTTTCGGGGCTCAAAGAAAGGCAGTGTTTAACCTTCCTTTTTTACCAAAAATCGACTGCACCAAAATTTCTCGAGAAAACACTTTTTCTTATTAATTTTGGTGCGTAGAATCCAAAACAATTCGTACTTTTTCGATTGGACTTGTCAATCAAAAGATATACACTAGAAACCAATTCCGAAAAAAATTCAAAGGGCTGTAACTTTTGAATTAGTAGCCCAATCTTGGAACTGTTTAAAATTATGGATTCTACAGGCCACATTCTATAAAAAAAAATTTTTTCCGGATCGCTCTGAGACAATTTTTCTTTCGGGGCTCAAAGAAAGGCAGTGTTTAACCTTCCTTTTTTACCAAAAATCGACTGCACCAAATTTCTCGGGAAAACACTTTTTCTTATTATTTTGGTGCGTAGAATCCAAAACAATTCGTACTTTTTCGATCAGACTTCTCAATCAAAAGTTATAGACTAGAAACCAAATTCGAAAGAAAATTCAAAGGGCTGTAACTTTTGAACTAGTAGCCCAATCTTGGAACTGTTTGAAATTATGGATTCTACAGGCCACATTCTACAAGAAAAATTTTTTTCCGAGTCGATCTGAGACAATTTTTTTTTCGCGCCAAAAAAAAGGCAGTGTTTTTAACCTTCCTTTTTTACCCAAAATTAACTGCACCAAAATTTCTCGGGAAAACACTTTTTCTTATTAATTTTGGTGCGTAGAATCCAAAACAATTCGTACTTTTTTCGATCAGACTACTCAATCAAAAGTTATAGACTAGAAACCAATTTCGAAAGAAAATTCAAAGGGCTGTAACTTTTGAACTAGTAGCCCAATCTTGGGACTGTTTGAAATTATGGATTCTACAGGCCACATTCTATAAGAAAATTTTTTTCCGGGTCGATCTGAGACAATTTTTTTTTCGGAGCTCAAAAAAAGGCAGTGTATAACCTTCCTTTTTTACCAAAAATCGACTACACCAAAATTTCTCGGGAAAACACTTTTTCTTATTAATTTGGGTGCGTAGAATCCAAATAAATTCGTACTTTTTCGATCAGACTTCTCAATCAAAAGTTATAGACTAGAAACCAATTTCGAAAAAAAATTCAAAAGGCTGTAACTTTTGAACTAGTAGCCCAATCTTGGAACTGTTTGAAATTATGGATTCTACAGGCCACATTCTATAAGGAAACTTTTTTTCCGGGTCGATCTGAGACAATTTTTTTTTCGGCCTCAAAAAAAGGCAGTGTATAACCTTCCTTTTTTACCAAAAATCGACTGCACCAAAATTTCTCGGGAAAACACTTTTTCTTATTAATTTTGGTGCGTAGAATCCAAAACAATTCGTACTTTTTCGATCAGACTTCTCAATCAAAAGTTATAGACTAGAAACCAATTTCGAAAGAAAATTCAAAGGGCTGTAACTTTTGAACTAGTAGCCCAATCTTGGAACTGTTTGAAATTATGGATTCTACAGGCCACATTCTATAAGAAAATTTTTTTTCCGGGCCGATCTGAGACAATTTTTTTTCGGGGCTCAAAAAAAGGCAGTGTATAACCTTCCTTTTTTACCAAAAATCGACTACACCAAAATTTCTCGGGAAAACACTTTTTCTTATTAATTTGGGTGCGTAGAATCCAAATCAATTCGTACTTTTTCGATCAGACTTCTCAATCAAAAGTTATAGACTAGAAACCAATTTCGAAAGAAAATTCAAAGGGCTGTAACTTTTGAACTAGTAGCCCAATCTTGGAACTGTTTGAAATTATGGATTCTACAGGCCACATTCTATAAGAAAATTTTTTTTCCGGGTCGATCTGAGACAATTTTTTTTCGGGGCTCAAAAAAAGGCAGTGTATAACCTTCCTTTTTTACCAAAAATCGACTACACCAAAATTTCTCGGGAAAACACTTTTTCCTATTAATTTGGGTGCGTAGAATCCAAATCAATTCGTACTTTTTCGATCAGACTTCTCAATCAAAAGTTGTAGACTAGAAACCAATTTCGAAAAAAAATTCAAAGGGCTGTAACTTTTGAACTAGTAGCCCAATCTTGGAACTGTTTGAAATTATGGATTCTACAGGGCACATTCTATACGAAAATTTTTTTCCGGGTCGATCTGAGACAATGTTTTTTTCGGGGCTCAAAAAAAGGCAGTGTATATATAAGCGGGTGAGAAATACAAATAGACGAGGACTAGAAACAGCACTTTATTAAGGTATATATTTGTTCCTATGAAAACGCACCAAGAACTTTTCCCGAACAAAAATTTGGTGTTAACTTGAACAATGACGTTGAGTAGTTCTCTAGCTATCAGTCAAAACAGACACTTGAATTTGGACGGCTTTTTGAATATGAGAATATGTTCCATCTTCTCATTCCTCAAATGTGTGTGGGGCAGTTATCTATTAGGTGAGAAACTACCTACTGACAAAATCGACATTTTTGAAAGAAACCCGCCAAAAAGGTTTCCTCTTCAGTGTATATATTTCCTAATGGATTGATGATGGTTTACTATCTGAATGGTTTATCTACCTCAAGTAGTTCGGTAAATAAATAAGTTGCATTTACGATAAGAAAAGTTTTTTAGAAATCCCCTGCTACTATCTACTGTAAATAAAGGTGCTTCAATCTTTTGATTGAAAGGGACAATAAAAAACCGAGACAATAAATTAGTCAATTCTTCAAAAATGTGGATTACGTTGATGATTGAAAATAAACAAGGATTTAGACGGAATTTGAGTACCTACAAATGATAAAGGCGGGTATAAAAAGGCTGTAGATTTGATCGTTCTTCATAAATTCTTCAACCATGAAGTACTTAGCCATTCTCGTCATCTGCCTTGCCTTCTCTGGGTACAACGGTCAAAGTAAGTAAAGATTCGATAATGCGGTTCATAAACTAATTGATCTTAACAGAGCTGAAACGGTGTCGTCCTCAAAAATGTAAAGATGTCGAAGTGCAAAGGCAACATCTGATAAACTTCCCTTTTGGTTGCCTCAACTCTGATTATCTAAGTGAGTGGAGGAAGTGCGTCCTCCAAGACGATCTAAGTGTCAAATGTCCTCAGGACAAATTCAACAAGTGCACCAAGCAAATTGAAATACGACATGATAAGGGATGCGACAAATGCGACGCCGTGGCTCTGAAGAACAACATCGATCAACTTCAGAAAATTAACTACAAATGCTTCTGCACAAGGTTTTTGGGATACTTCAACGACCACCTGAGCAAAGCAGACTGGGATAATGATAAATGCCCAGGAGCAAAATTGAACAAGTTCTTTAAGGAAGCTTATGATAACCTTCCAAGCTAAAGTTAAAATTAATATGTATATGTACTTAAATGTCTCGGTGCAATGCCGGATATGCTTCTTTTTCAATCGCTTTAATAAATTACGTAATACAGTCTACCTTTTTTTGTTATTATTATTATTGACTAAGGTGAAGAGAGTAAACTTATAATCGTTTACTAAGCGTGAGAGGAGAAACACATTTTCTGTCTGATAAAGAAGCATCGGTAACCAGAAATGTTTAACAAATTCTTTTGTGCGTAAGAAATTACAAGAACAAATAAATATATTACACACACAACAAGACCATGCCAGGGAAACCTTCTACGGGACAAAAACCCCGGCATAGGCCAAACAAATACATGAAATAAATTACCTACAGCAATAAAATGCAAGAGAAAATACACATAAATAAAACATCTCAAATTGTATGATAAAAATCAAATCAAATGCAATTGAACAAGTTCATAAAAACAAAATACACAAGACATCATAAATGCAGTGAAAAACATGATAAATCAATTCAGCAGAAAAACACATCAAAATACCTGTACGATCAATTGAGATAACACAACTCGTAAAATAAATAAATTGCATGTACATAGGAAACATTTATTTATTTATTATTTATTATCCCTCTCTTGTTCTGGGCCCTCAACAAGCTTGCGCCCAATTACAGAGTGACCCGCATACTGCTTTTTAAAGGTGCCTCGGCAGAAGGTCTTAAGTTGTTCTATACTACTCCTTACGAATTAGGAAAACTGCAGGAAAACCTAATTCGGAGTAGCCGGCAGAATGCTCGAAACTGGTCTAAGGTAATTTCCATCTCTGCCACAGATGAAAAATTCACCTCAACCCAGGTTCGAACACCCGACCTCCGGATTTATAACTCAACGCTCTACCATCTACATGTAAATGGTGTGGCTCTACTGCGGCCTTCCGTTAACATAATTTAATTTAACACGAAAGGTACATGTGAGAATGCCAATGGCCAATAGCAAGTATTCATGTGAAAGTCGATTATCGCTCAAGCAGAACGAACATATTTGAAATAGTGGACATATTAATGAGAGGGCCCCTACTCGCATTGCTAAGATACCCTTTTTCACAAAAATGGATTTGATATAATTACAAAAGAAAAATAAGGTATTTTAATCGCTTTAATAAAGTACGTAGTTTACATTTTATTTGTTTATTATTCAAATTAATAAAACAAAATAACATACAACAAATCATTGTGTCATAACCTTGTAATGATCCCTTTTCCGCTCAGTGTCGATTCTGAACAGCGTACAATACCTCTTCAAATTCTTCATACGTCATTGCATAAAATAACTACCTACTTTTTTGAGGAAGTAGTATAATTCCATTTTGTGGTATTTGCACTTTGCAATACATACCTACCTATTTCTTTCATAATTGAATCGCCAAAATCATCATGTCTTAATTGTTAATATAATTGCCTCTATCTTAACACACTTATGTTTTAAATAACTATTAACTACCTATAAACATTAAGCAGTTGTCCTTATTTTTGAAATTGACAAATACATGACGCACTATTTAAAAAACATACCTATTCTTTCTGAATAACAACTGAAAAACTTTTAAGGATGAAAAATATATTACTCCAAATTTTTGATAAACTGAAGATTATACTACTCGGAAAATATTTACGCCGTTAGGAAACTTTTGGAAAATCTACAGAGAATCAAAATCAAAATTAGATTAGATGTTACTAATGTTAGTTAGGACACGTAGACCTCCCTCTCAATAAACCCCATACTACAGAGAATTAATATTTTACTCCACAAGATCTTTGTTCCTTTATAAAAAAGGTTGATGTTGTGTTAAAACGTGTCGTTTAAGACAGTATCTTATATAAGTCTCATAATCGCAATGAGCACACTTAAAATACTTAGAAACTTTATGTTTTAGAAGATGTTGTTTAAACTGACGTCTGTTATTTGTCTCGTAAGTACAATCAGCACATTTTAGCACATCATTTATGCTACTAGAAAATTTGTGTCTGGAAATGTGCCCTATAAGGTATCGTTTACTATTTGTTCTATAATCACAATGAGCACATTTAAAAAATTTGGGATCAGTGTGTATTAAATGGTGGTCTTTAAAGTGGTATTTGTTATTTGTCTTGTAATCACAATTAGCACATTTAAAACCTTTAGAATCGATATGTTTTAAAAGATGTCGTTTAAGATATTTTTTATTATCTGTTACATAATCACAATGAACACATTTAAATTCTAAAACTGTATGTTTTAAAAGGTGATGTTTATAGTAATATTTGTTATTTGTCTGGAAATTACAATCGGCACATTTAAAATTTTTAGAATCGTTATGTTGTAAAAGGTGTCTTTTAAGATATTGTTCATTATTTGTTCCATACTCACAATGAGCACATTTCAAATATTTCGAATCGATATGTTTTAAAAGGTGTCGTTTAAGATATTTTTCATTATTTGTCTCATACTCACAATGAGCACACTTAAAATCATTAGAATCGGTATGTTTTAAAAGATGTTGTTTAAAGTAGTATTTGTAATTTGTCTCGAAATCGCATTTAGCGCATTTAAAATCTTTAACTTCGGTATGTTTTAAAAGGTGTCGTTTAAGATAATTTTTGTTATATGTTGCATAATCACAATGAACACATTTTAAAACGTTGGAAATATGTTTTAAAAGGTGTCGCTTAATGTTGACTTTATTATTTGCTTCGTAATCACAATGAGCACATTTAAAATATTTAACATCAGTATGTTTTAAAAGGTGTTGTTTAAGATATTTTTTATTATTTGTTACATAATCACAATGAACACATTTTAAATCTTTAGAAGCTTTATGTTTTAGCAGATGTAGTTTAAAGTATTGTTTGTCGTTTGTCTCGTAATCACAATTAGCACATTTAAAATCTTTAGAATCGGTATGTGTTAAGAGGTGTACTTTAAAGTGGTATTTGTTATTCGTCTTGTAATCACAATTAACACATTTAAAATGTTTAGAATCAATATGTTTTAACAGGTGTAGTTTAAAACATTGTTCACTATTTGTTCCATACTCACAATGAGCACACTTAAAATATTTAGAATCGGTATGTTTTAAAAGATGTTGTTTAAAGTAGGATTTGTTATTTGTCTCGAAATTGCAAAGAGCACATTTACAAATTTTAGTATCAGTATGATTTAAAAGGTGTTCTTTAAAGTAGCGTTTATTATTTGTCTCATAGTCGCAATTACCACATTTAAAATCTTTACAATCGGTATGTTTTAAAAGGTGTATTTTAAGATATTTTTTATTATATGTTGCATAATCACAATGAACACATTTAAAATCTTTAGACACTGTATGTTTTAAAAGGTGTTGGGTAAGAGATCCTTTATACTTTGTTCCAAAATCACAATGAGCACATTTAAAATGTTTCAAAAGGTGTCGTTTAAACACGGATTTACTATTGGTCTTGTAATCACAGCTACCACATAGTAGCGCATTAACATTGTTTGAAATTTGGGTTTTAATATTCCATCCACAATCAGCCTGTTGTATTTCTTCATTATCGAGCGATTTAGAGCACTGTGCAGTGATGCTGATTTCGTTCTTTATTGTCACCAGTCCTTCGTTGCTTACTAAAATGTTTTCTTGTAGATCGGAATGGATTTCTTCTTCTTGTTTTAGTTCGACTTTAACAAGTGATTTTCCATCATTTCCGTCCATATCAATAACGTTAATTTTGTTTATAATAAAGCTCTCAGTACAAAGGGTAGATACACGAACTTATAAATTAAGATGGACTGCTAATACTGAATTGACAACAATGAATAAAGAATACCAGGAAGGAGAATATCAACAATATACGTGCGACCGCGATGGCTTTTGCAAATGGCGGGCAGTAGTTTCCTGTTCCAGTGGCGTACCTACCTTACAGTTGTAGAAGGATACAATTATAAAGAATTTTACACGAAAACAATCTAAACCCCCATGTGTCTACTCCGCCTATGACTTTTGTTTAACTAACCTCAAACTACATTCCGATAAAAAATTTGTAAATTTACATGTACTATGTAAAAATAATACTGGTATCAATACTTACAAATGAAATGTAATTCCCAAAGTTTTATTTTTTTCTGTTTTGGAGCAACCACAAGCACAACAACTAACCATTCTTTTTATGTCACTGCAACAGCCACAACAAAAATGAGTCATAAGTGGCTTTTGCAAATGGCCGACTTCCGTCGCACTCTCTCTCGTATACAACTTGATTAATGCTCCTTCCTGGTATTCTTTATTCATTGATTGACAATGGGGCAGCCATGATGTGCACTCACTTGGCGCGAAATTCAAATCAACCAATAAACAAGTGTCCAAATAAATTAAAATCACTGACATGTCATTTTCCAAGGCTGCAATAGTCTCAAAACTTGAGCACTAGGAAAATTCCCCTAGAAAATAACTAAAAAGTGCACATCATGGCCGCGCCCATGCTAGGGCCTTTTCTACCTTTATGCAACTGTTTGATCAGCAGTCCATCTCAATTTATAAGTTCGTGGGTAGATAAAGCTGTGGCTGTAGCTCAAGTACCGGTAAGGGTCGGCTTTCTAGTGGCAAAGCGATGGGTTTTATTCTACACCCAATTACATTCAAGTAAGTAAAGGCGAATGCAAAAATGCATAATCCGATGTCAGACAACTAGCATAATAAATTTGAACTATATTTCTACGCAAAGACCTGTTCATTAAGCGTGATTACCTTTTACCTTTTCTTTAGATCAATTACTGGCATAGAGAATTAAAAAATTTACATTGGACTTTGATATTTTAAAATTCAAATCAACATTTAAAAAAACTTCGTATTATAACGGTTTAGTTACATTTACAAGGGTTGAAGACCCCACTTGCATTAAATAAAATTTAATCTCTACGGCACTGGCGAAAAAATTTAGTATGACAATTAATTTTTGTTAAACCCACGGCTAGCTCCGTAATAAAAAATGTTTTTATACCCTTTACCTCTGAAAATTTGAAATTTAAAATCTAAGGCCCTGGTTTGATTGAACTCGAATAAATACTCACGTAATTCCATATTAACATTCAATCTCTACGGAACAAAATTGATCAACTTTCACTTTTTTTAATCGACTCTAATATTCAATTCCTATGCTTAACTGAACATTGGTTGAACGTTGATAATATAGGAACTGTTAATTTACCTGGTTTTTTATTATCAGCAAAATTTTGCAGATCTTCACGTTCGCATGGTGGAGTTTGTATTTACAGAAAAGACACAATTGAATGTGAATCAATTTGTTTAGATCAGTTCTGTTCTGAAATTAATGCAGAATTCTGTGGGGTATTGCTTCCTAGTAGTATGCTTGCTATTATTACTTTATACAGATCACCTAATGGCGTACCAAGTGTATTCTTAGAGCATTTAGAGGAAGTATTAGCTTTTTGTTACACCAAGGCAAAGTCGATTATTGTAACAGGCGATTTTAATATAAATTTTATGGTAAAATCAGATTTTGTAGCGAATCTTAAGTCCGTGGCTTATTCTTTTGGCATGGAAATTTTAATTGACGATTATACTAGAGTTACCGCAAGTTCAGCTACATGTCTTGATAATATTTTTGTGAATTTACCGAAACACTCATATCGATCAGGTGTGATCGATCCATGTTTATCAGATCACAAAGGCCAGTACTTAATATTTAAAACGCAAAACTCAATTAATAAAATCCTCCGCACGGTCAGATTATACCCATCTTACAGCATTGAAAATTTCAAACGCGATTTGAAAATTCAATTCAAACGCGATTCCAGTCTTTAATTCATGTGCATTTTCCCTTTCGCTTCCTAAAATGTAGTCGAAAGAAAAATCCGGTTAACTGGTTTACTAAAAAATTAAAAGATATGCGTAACACTCTCCGATGCATCAAAACTATTTGTGATGTCAATAAAGACTACCATGCATACAATATCTATAAGAAGCGATATCGTAGTGCAATTTCTGTTCAAAAAAAGAAAGCTTACGATGATTTCTTAAATAACTCAAATAATAAAATTAAGGATATGTGGAATTTAGTTAACTTTGAAAGAAACAAGGCCCATTCTAAAACAATACAGCCCCCATTCGCTGCTGAGAATTTTAATAATTACTTTGTGAATGTTGCTAATGACATAATTCAAAACTTGTCTGGCAACATTAACAATTTAACTGTTACCGCTCAATTAAACTCTAAAAACGGCTCCTTTTTCTTGCATCCAATTACCGAAATAGATGTTCTTCAAGCAGTCAGTAAGCTTAGAAATTCCCTCTGTGCCGATTATTACGGAATTAATGCGAGAATCATTAAAGCAACAGTTGACATATATCTTATTTATTTGGTCAACCTGTTTAACCTTTGCATATGTGAAGGTAACTTCCCAGAGTCATTTAAGGTCAGCGTGGTACTGCCATTATTTAAAAAAGGAGATTGTGGAGATCTGGGAAATTACAGACCCATTACGATAATACCAATGTTTGCTAAGATCTTTGAAATCATTTTAAACAAGAGGCTATATAGTTATTTGCATAATCACAATATCTTAAGCTGTTTTCAGTATGGTTTCCGGAAAAAACACTCCACTATTCAAGCTGTTACTAAACTTACTTCTACAATCATCAATGCTCTGGAGGAGGGTGAACTAGCTGCATTGATATTATGCGACCTTTCAAAAGCATTTGACTGCGTTTCTTTTGAAATTTTATTAAATAAAATGATTCAATGTGGCATCAGAGGCTTAGCGGCTACATTCTTCTCGGCTTATCTCTACAATCGTAAGCAATGCGTTGTTGTTAATGGAGAGTATTCAAGGCTACTTCCTACGAAACATGGTGTTCCACAAGGCTCTATTTTAGGGCCTCTATTTTTTATTATTTATGTAAACGATTTTTTTCAATTTGTATACCCCAGTACTTGTATAGCCTTTGCTGACGATACTTCCATAATTGTTAAAGATAAAACTTTTAAATCATTATGCAATAAAGCCAAAATCACGTTGCAAGAAGCGACTAATTGGTTTGCAAATAATAACTTAATGCTTAATAAGGATAAGACGCATATACTGACATTCTCTGCCAGCAACAAGATTTCGTCAGGCCTTTGCGCCAAAGTGTTAGGTATTTGTGTCGACGATAGGTTGACGTGGATCAATCACATTGACTATGTTGTATCGAAGCTATCTAAGTCTTTGTTTGTTTTGAGAACTCTAAAACGGGCAATATCTATTAAAACCCTTATATCCTGCTACTTCTCACTTTTTCATTCTCATCTCCTGTATGGAGTAACTTTGTGGGGAAATGCTCCCAAATCGAACAAAGCTTTTATTATGCAGAAGAAAGCGATAAGGGTTATTGTAGGTGCCCAGTTTAGAGCACACTGCCAGCGATATTTCCGTCAACTTCGAATTATGCCGCTGCCATCAATATTCATGTATACTGCTCTTTTAGAAATTCACAAAAAGTTATCTACATTCCCAACTAATGACACTACACACAGCTACAACACTAGGAACGCAAAAATCTGAGGATTCCATACTTTAGACTTTCCAAATCCAAAAATAATAGCCCCCGCATAGATTTGTATAATGTACTACCACTGGCTGTGAAGCACTTACCTTTCATTAAGTTTAAAAATTTTATAAAAAATCATTTTTTAGCTTATTGTTTCTACTCCATAGAGGAATACCTCAGTACACCTATTGTTTTTAATTTGTGATTTTAACTTGTATTTTTATTTTTAATATTGTTAGTTTTTTTATGAATTTCTTTGTCCGTTTGTACTTTTATTGTATACTACTTATTTATGCTGTAATTTGACCTGTCGCAAGCACTGAATGTGATATTACGATATACTATTGTTATTGGCTTTGGTTCATAAAAAGAAGTATAGGCCAAATGCAACAGTTTTTTCAGTGGTTAGAATATAAATCTTATCTAACACTTTCGTTTTTTTATATCATAATAATTTTGTTTGGTAAGATTGTCTTAATCCAAAACATCTGCTAAAAAAACAAAACGTTAAAGAAAAATTTTAAATCCAATGGCAAATGAAATGAAATGACCAAAATCCTTTCTTTGGATCCGATTCTAAAATACATATAAAATTTTTGTTTCTGCAAATTGATTTCTCACCGGTCGGTTCCTTTAGGAGTTATTTAAAAAAATTACTAGGGCGATTCTCGACCATTACTTCATACAAATGAAAAAATTCAAAATAACTAAAATTCTCTTTTGGTAAAAAAAACAGGTTCAATTAAGAAATATGGAAAGAGATGCTTTCCGAAGATTGCAACAGAATGGGATGTTTCTGCATCGCCCTGGTGAGGTGTTGAATAGAAAAAGGACCAATAATTTTAAGTTTTTACGGAGTAAATGTACTGATTAGTTGTCTTGACATATGTCGTTGCATACAAAATTTTCCACCGTATCATTGTTTTAGAATGACGTCACCCCCAGTTTTGGTGAAGTGGTTTTAAAACGAGCCATTATTGTTAGCGACTGCCGAAAAAAAGTTTTTTTGTTTTTATCACAATGGTCTTGTTTGAAAAGCGCTTCTACCGTTTCGGAAGTGTTTAATTCACGTTTGGTCTTTATCAACTTCGAAAATATACTACGCGAAATAAATTGCTTGTACTTTTGCTTCCCTAACTTCGCCAAAAATTAAATTTCAACGCACC